TCAAATGTGCAAATATGTCAATTCTACTTCTTAAAAATTAGCACAACCCACAAGTATCTTGGCCAATTAACAATTAAAATGGGAAAAACGTATTCACTGATTGTCCAAAAGCTGGTCAGCAGCCTAGGTCATTTTGCCAACAAGGTGTTGGTTTCTCCCAGGATCAGTTATGGCCGATTGATTTCTCTTTCACTGTATAGTATGATAAGACCATGGGTGCAAATTAAGACTTCTCCTTTATGAACTCTCTTCTTGCACTGAATGAGGTTTTACAGTAACATTGATTAGAAGGGTTTCAGAGAGACGATAAAAGCTGTTGACTCTGTGGCAGGTTCTTGCTGTGTTCAAAACTAATGTTTCTTACATCCACCAACTGGATCATGTGACCTCCCCCTGGAAATTATTGCAGACTTTGTGTCTCATTTCAGCAGCACGTTCTTTGCAAATGCAATATTGTTGCTACTGTAACCAGCATCTTTTCTTGAGAAGTGTTCTTTTCAAAATGTTTAAGGAATGTTCCATCAATGATCTTTTTATATCTTAGATAACACATCTTCATAGCATACTTACGTAGCATCTTTTGGTTTCCTCAATATTACTTGTAAATATTTTTCATATCCTCTCTCTGCTTTCCTAATTTCCTCTTCAATTTCACCCCCATCACTTCTTATGTTCCTCTAGTCAGTCTACAATATTGAGCTTATGACAGGAGGTTCCGAACTGTGGATTGTACCGTCTAGTAGAGTCATGAATTGGAATTTTGAAGTTGAGAACTCCAACTGAGAGCTAACAGCTGTGTGGTTCCTTTATATCCTTGCTTTTCTAATAGTAGATATGGTTGAACTGTGAGGCTTGATTTCTGAGTTGAAAAATCCAGTGGAAAGGTATGTGCACTTTACTTAAAAACCCTGCACAGTAAAACTTTGCCCCTGCCACCACCATCACCACCACTGCCACCAACGCTGACTTTGTAAATTCCTTCCTCAACTAACTTGTCTCCCCACCACCAAACCCTCCCAACTCTCTCAGCTCTGGGTGACACTAATTTTCAAGCATCCAAATAGTGTCAGTGGGAAAATGTTGGAGAAGTGCTAGTTTATAGTATCTGACAAAGGCCTTGCTTTTTTGCCTTATCCCAGGCTGTGCACTCTTTGACACCCAGAGGTCTAGATTTAGGAGTCCCACCTTTTTCTTGTAGGAACATATTTGTTCTCAACTGGCTATTGCTTCCTTGAATACCTCCCACTGTTCTGGCACTGATTTACCTTCAATTTACTCTTTCTAAACACTTTTCTTTTGCCAAATTGCAACTCAGCTTAGTGCAGTTGACTTTTTACCAATTAAAACTTTTATATCTGATCTAGCTTGTCCATTTCTAATAGCTAAGCTAAACCTAATTGAATTTTGATCACTTCCACCAAAATACTCTCCCAGCGATTCCCCCAATTCATATGGCCTCACTTCTAAAGGATGTGGGCATTGCTGGCTGGGCCAGCATTTATTGGCCATCTCTAGCTGTCCACAAGAAGGCAGTCATAGATTCTTTCTCTAAGGAAACAGACCTTTCGGTCCAACTCATCCATGCCGACCAGATATCCTAAATATCCCAGCATTCGGCCCATATTCCTTCAAATCTTTCCTATTCATATACCCATCCAGATGCCTTTCAAATTTTGTAATTGTACCAGCCTCCACCACTTCCTCTGGCAGCTCGTTCCATGGTGGTGCTGAGCTGCCTTCTTGAACTACTGCAATCCTTCTTGAACTAAGCACACCCACAATGCCATTAGGGAGGGAATTCTGGAATTTTGAGTCAACAATACTGAAGGAATGGTGATGTATCTCCAAGTCAGGATGATGAATGACTTGGAGGAGAACTTACAGGTGGTGGTGTACCCGTGTATCTGTCCTTCTAGATGGCGGTGTTGTGGGTTTAGAAGGCACTGTCTAAAGAGTTGTGTTGAAAGTAAGTATCTGTGGTGAAGAAAGTGAATATTTGTAGATATAGTTCTAATCAACCAGGCTACTTTATCCTGAATCATGTCAACCTTCTTGAGTGTTGTTGGAGCCGCACTCATCCAAGCAGGGGGTGGGGGTGTGGAAATTCCATCATCCTTCTGAGTTGTGCCTTGTAGGTGGTGGCCAGGCATTGGGAGTCATGAGGTGAGTTAACCACTGCAAGATTCTTAGCATCTGACCCTGTAGCCGCAAGGCTTATATGACTAGTCCGGTTTAATTCAGTAGTAACCTGCAGGATGTTGATAGTGGGGGATTAATTGTGGTGATGTCATTGAATGTTGAGGTTGATGATTAGATTTTCTCTTGTTTGAGATGCTTATTGACTGACACTTGTGCTGTACAAATGTTACTTATTACTTGCCAGCCCAAACCCTAATATTGTACAGGTCTTGTTGCATATGGGCATGGATTGCATCAGTATCTGAGGACTTGAGTGGTGCTGAACATTGTGCAGTCATCAGCAAACATTCCCACTTCTGACGTTGTGACCCTCCCCACAGTTGTGATTGTTTATTTAACCAACACCACGAACCATATCCCCTTCTCTATTTTGTCTGAAAATTCCATAACCTGTTTTGTAGAGCTGCCATTCCATAAGCCATATTTCAGTGATAACCTTAGAGTTTAAGTGATGTGTAAATCAAACAAGAGTGATATCAGAAAAAACATTTTAACACAGTGAGTTGTTAGGGTATGAAATGCACTGCCCAGAAATGTGGTGGAAGCACGTTCAATTGAAGAATTCAAGAGGCCATTGGATTATTTGGATAGTAATGGTATGCAGGGTATGGGGAAAAGGTGGAGATTGGCACCAGATTAACAGAGCTGAAGGAGGTGCAATAGGTCAAATGGCCCATTGTGATTTTACACTCCCCTACTAGCACAATTGAAGGTGGGGGAGGGGATGGGCCCATAAAATCCAAGTCTTTGCCTATCCAATGCCTATCTGTATGAAATATTACAAGGACATGAAGGCCATTATTTCACTCATCAACGGTTAAACAGCAGCTTTAGCTGCACAGTCTGAGTCCAAGCAAGAATGGGATCTGGATCTCCTTTGCAGGTCTTGTGCCGATGGGAGGCACCCCTTATCCACCTGATCACACTTTCCCTTTTACCATCTTTCAGGAAGAGTCAAATTGAGCTCAAAATATTTACTTGTATATCTCTCCATGAATGTTGCTGGAGCTGATGAGTTTCTCCAGCCCTTTCTGTTCTTATTTCAGATCGTCAGCTTCTACACTTTTTTTTTCAGAAATTAATGGAATTCAGATCAGAGCTGTTTGCTATTTATAGCAAAAGATGTGTACCCAGTACTGATTCCTGTGGAACACTGCTAGTCACAGGCCTCCAGTCCGAAAAACAATCCTCTACAACCACCCTCTGTCTCCTGCCAATAAAGCCAATTTTGTACCCAATTAGTAAGCTCACCCTGAATCCTATGTGATCTAACTTTACCAATTTATCTACCATGCGGAACCTTACCAAAGACTTTAGTAAAGTCCAAGTAAACAATGTTTATCGCGCTGCCCTCATCAATGTTTTTGGTTACTTCCTCAAAAAACTCAATCCGGTTTGTGAGACGTGAAAGGAGAAAGATTTAAGGACGAGAATCAACTTTTTTAGACAGCGAGTGGTTAGTGTGTAGAATGAACTGCCAGAACAAGTTGAGGCTGCAGGTACAGTTACAACTTTTAAAAGGCATTTGGATAAATACATGAATAGGAAAGGTTTGGAGCAATATGGGCCACATGCAGGCAGGTTAGACAAGTTTGGCTTGGGAACATGGTTGGCATGGACTAGTTGGACCGAAGGGTCTGTTTCCAGACTATATGACTCTATGGCTTGGGTCTGCCCAGTTTGAAGCTGAAGGAAACTATAGTTGGACAGGCAGGATGGGAAGCAGGAAACAGATCTAGAATAAAATGTGGAAAGATAAAGCTAAGCATCTTAGGCACATTGTTAGAACCCAGTCTGTGTTTCTAAATCACATTGCTAAATCAAAAGTGATGCATTTTTGTCTATGACCAGTACTTATTGGATGAACTCTCTGGCCACAAATAATGCTGATCTCGCTAATGTTGATCTCGTCTAGGGCACACCCTGTGCAATGTAACCTGTATGTCTCTCTCTAAGTCTTTTTGATCTGTACATCCTTGCTTGCCATGATCTGCCTGTACTGCTCGTAGACAAATCTTTTCACTGTACTTTGGTACATGTGACAATAAATCAAACAAGCAATCAATCAGACACAAAGGGATGAAAAGTATTTAATGAGGCTATATCCAAACTGTTCAGAAAATACGTAAGTCTGGAATAGGGTGACTTTCTTTGTTCTACTGTTCAAAGCTATGTTTTCAGTTACTCTGGTTTTTGTAATTCCAATTTCACCTTGCGCTTTGTTTGAATAAATGCCTTTTGCACACTTTAGCTTGCCATGCACCTACAATGGGGTGCTCAGATAGCGTTAGATCTCTGACATCAATATTTCTTCATAAGTTCTGAAGAAGGATCATTGGACTGGGAACACAAATTCTGTTTTATCGTCTACAGATGCTGCCAGACCTTCTGAGTTTATCAAGAAATTTCTGCTTTTGCTTTTTGTTTACTAAAGGCTGTTGTCATTCATCCACCATATGAAATATTCCAAACGCCCAATTCTGACCATTCAACCTAACCAGCTCAGTGTTCACGTTTTGTTTGATGAGTGTCTGTGTAATGCAATGGAACCTTTCCCAACGTAAAATACTGTATTTTATCGTCAAGGCACCTGTTTGTGTTTTGTCCTTCCTGAGCAGCCTGAGCCACACCAAAAAGCCACAGCGAAACAACCACCCCAGAACTTAGCGATATCTTCAACGGCACTTCCTTCAATACCTGTGATGCTGCGTAAAAGTTGAGTGGAGCAAGAAATAAGACAAAAGTTGTGAAGATGCGAGTCCGCCGGTGGGGGCGCCGCAGGGGGAGGACCAAAGTGCGGAAGTCTCTTCATCTCGAGCTCATTATTTAACGGCTGCCTGAGGCGCGAGGGAGGGGGGCGCGCGCGCTCTTTCAACAATGAAGATTAAGGAGGCGATTGCCGCTTTGTGTAAAGTGCTCGTCGGGATACGGTTCAGGGATGGGGCGGCCACTGTAGCTGATGTCAGTCCGGAGATGTTTCGCAAGGCCAAGTTCAACCGAAATGAAGTGGTAAGAGTTTTCAGGGAGGAGGGTAGGATCGTCTGCATTGGTTGACGGCGAGCAGGACTAATGAGTACATGAATCTGGTGGAGGTGGAGTCTTCACAAAGTTGGACGGCCAATGGCATGTGTCTGGGGTGGGACTGTGGAAAATACAAAGTGATTTGATCATCTACAGGTTCAGTCAAAGTTGGCTATACACTTCAGACATCCATTTGAAGACAGTAGTCATGTATTTTTTTTGTTTCAATGACATTTAAGACGCTTTTTCCTTAAAGAAAACTGAACCAAATCTTCGTTTGTGAGGAGAGGAGATCCCCAGTAGAATTTTTTATTAACATATTCCACTCATCATTTTCCTTCAACAGTAAAGACCGATTTCCATTCCAAAGCCTTATTTTTAAATTATTCATTCCCGAGATGAAGGCTTTGCAGCATTTGTTGTCCTTCTCTAATTACCCACAGGGCAGTTAAGAGCCAACCACATTGCTGTGGGTCTGGAGTCACATGTAGGCCAGACCAAGTAAGGATGGCAGTTTCCTTCCCTAAAAAGGCCATTAGTGAACCAGATAGGATTTTCCTGACAATCGACAAGGATTCATGGTCATCATTAGACTATTAATTCCAGATATTTATTGAATTCAAATTCCACCATCTGCTGTGGCAGGATTTGGACACAGGTCCCCAGAACATTATCTCGGTCTCTGGATTAACAGTCCGGCAATAATACACCGAGGCCATCACCTCTTCCCACTTTGCAATGGGTTTTGACCATAGTCATTTTCAGATACAAGCTGGATTTTGAATGAGAAATGTTTATCAAATGCTTGAAGTAAAGATGGTAGAACATGCCGCAAATGAATACTGCTGCATTCTTCAGCATTGATTGGCAGTTACTACTGGGCCCTGTTTTGCTGCATCTTCTGATGCAGCTTGTCAGACACCATGTCAGTCTTCAGGTGTTACCCAGAGGAAAAAGATTCCCTCCTAGAATAAGAGATAACTAGGTGTAGAACTGGATGAACACAGCAGGCCAAGCAGCAGCATAGGAGCAGGAAGGCTGACGTTTTGGGCCTACACCCTTCATCAGAAATGGGGGAGGGGAAGGGGGTTCTGAAATAAATAGGGAGAGAGGAGGAGGCGGATAGAGGAGGAGGCAGATAGAGGAGAAGATAGGTGGAGAGGAAACAGACAGGTCAAAGAGGCGGGGATGGAGCCAGTAAAAGGTGAGTGTATGTGGGGAGGTAGGTCAACGGGGCAGGATGGAGGTTAGTAGGTAGGAAATGGGGTTGCAGCTTGAGGTGGGAGGAAGAACAGGTTAGGGAGGTGGTGACGAGCTGGGCTGGTTTTGGGTTGCGGTAGGGGGAGGGGAGATTTTGAAACTTGTGAAATCCACATTGATACCATTGGGCTGCAGGGTTCCCAAGCGGAATACGAGTTGCTGTTCCTGCAACCTTCGGGTGGCATCATTGTGACGCTGCAGGAGGCCCAGGATGGACATGTCTGAGGAATGGGAGGGGGAGTTGAAATCGTTCACGACTGGGAGGTGCAGTTGTTTATTTCAAACCGAGCGTAGCTGTTCTGCAGAGCGGTCCCCAAGCCTCTGCTTGGTTTCCCCGATGTAGAGGAGGCCACAACGGGTGCAGTATACCATATTAGCAGATGTGCAGGTGAACATCTGCTTGATGTGGAAAGTCTTCTTGGGGCCTGGGATGGGGGTGAGGGAGGTGTAGGGGCAGGTGTAGCACTTCCTGCGGTTGCAGGGAAAAGTGCCGGGTGTGGTGGGGCTGGAGGGGAGTGTGGAGCGGACAAGGGAGTCACGGAGAGTGTGGTCCCTCCGGAAAGCAGATAAGGGTGGGGAGGGAAAAGTGTCTTTGGTGGTGGGGTCGGATTGCAGATGGCAGAAGTGTCAGAGGATGATGCGTTGGATCCGGAGGTTGGTGGGGTGGTAAGTGAGGACGATTTCACAAGCTTCAAAATCTCCCCTCCCCCTACCGCATCCCAAAACCAGCCCAGCTCATCCCCGCCTCCCTAACTTGTTCTTCCTCCCACCTGTCCCCCTCCTCCCACCTCAAGCCGCACCTTCATTTCCTACCTACTAACCTCATCCCGCCCCCTTGACCTGTCCGTGCTATCTCCTCCCCACCTACACTCACCTTTACTGGCTCCATCCCCACTTCTTTGACCTGTCTGTTTCTTCTCCACCTATCTTCTCCTCTATCCATCTTCTATCCGCCTCCCCCTCACTCCCTATTTATTTCAGAACCCCCTTCCCCTCCCCCATTTCTGAAGGGTCTAGGCCCGAAACGTCAGCCTTCCTGCTCCTATGCTGCTGCTTGGCCTGCTGTGTTCATCCAGCTCTACACCTTGTTATCTCAGATTTTCCAGCATCTGCAGTTCCTACTACCCCTCCGAGAATAATTCTGGTTGAAGGAGCAATAGTCATGTGCGTCAAATATCATTTGTTGCAAGATATTCTCTTCATTTCCAAAATATTACTGAAACCAATGAAAGCAACATGTATAACCTGATATATCCACCTATCATTTATATATTAGTCTATTAATACTTCATAAAAACATACTAATAAATTCTAGCCTGCTGACACGGTAATTGTTAATAAAAGCCAAAAGAACTGCGGATGCTGTAAATCAGGAACAAAAAACAAAGTTGCTGGAAAAGCTCAGCAGATCTGACAGCATCTGTGAAGGAGAAAACAGAGTTTACGTTTCAGGTCCAGTGATCCTTCCTCAGAACTGATCAACTTTGTTTTTGTTGGCAATTGTTAATATTTGCTTAAAAAACCTTGTATGCAATTAAATTGTTTTCATTCGATCTGGAGTAAAGTATCTGGCCGGGTGCCTGGAGAAGACCTGGGTTCAGTGCAGGGGGCCGACCAGCTGAATTTGAGGAGGGAGAGAAGTCTTCATGACATCTCTAGCCCCTGATTGTCAATCACCACAATCATAAACTCGGCATCTAAGATATAGATGGACAGTCTCTGACCTTCTCATTTGAAGAAGAATATTGCGTTTGGAGTGAAATGCCAAGCCTAATTAATTACTGGGCACAAGTGTAAAGAAATTTGCAGAGTCACAGTTATTGTAATAAACTTCAAATGCAAAAACAAGAAAAAGTTTGAAAGGATAGGAATGCAAAGTAATTTAGTCTTGTGCTAACTGAAACCCAAATATATCAGGCCTCAGAATGAAAGAGCCACAATTAGCCCCATCAATGTCCTCCTGCAACTTCACTGAGGAGGGTGGCAGAGAGAATGAAAACTTACAGCAAATCTATGTTTGGATGGATTGGGCTGATAGTGCTTACTGCTAGGCCGTAACCTACTCCAGTCACTCACCTATAGTAATAGATGTTACCCTTTTTCACTGTTTAACTTTTAATTCCTTGTTCCCTTTACAAGGCAGATGGGAGTGTAAACCACTCAAATCACATACCTTCCATCCATGGGAATGCCTGCATGATCTAGATAAAACCTAATGAAAATCTAACATTTCCCCACATGTTGAGTGGTATGCTAGGAAGTATTACTCAACTCTCTAGAATTCCCATTTGCAGTGTATAGCACACTGTAAGAAGGTCTTACATTGTTTTTGGGGAGGGTTTTCTGATAATAGTTGGAACCTGGGAACCCTGTTGAAGGGGAGGGGCAATAGAGTTGCAAATGCAGACATTTGAATAATCTTAATAAAAATGTTGGGATACCAGGAAGTTTGGTGAAAACCCCAAAAATCTGATCACCCTAAAAAATGGAGGAGTTGAGAAACAGGGAGAGGAGAGGGGATTTATGGAGGAGGGAGGGAAGGAAGGAAGTCATGGGGGTTCGGGGGGAGGGGTGGAGGTGGTGGTGCAGTTAAGTTAATGGAAGAGAAGGAGGATCATATTGTGTGAGGGAGGGAACAGAGAGAGATCAGAGTGTGCTCGGAATGATTGGAGGGGAGCGGAGGAGGATGGCCCAGGAGCTAGGCAGCATAGAGTGCAACCGAGGATCGCATTAAAGGGAAAAGTCCTCTGGTTCCCAGTTTAACTTTTCTTCCCCTACTTTCTCTCCCCACCCCAGACAACTGAATTCTGGAAGTTGCTGCATTGGCTTCTGAAGCTACTCAATGAACACAGGCCCTCTGAGGCTTCAGATTTGGGTAAGAAATACTCCTCCTTTGTATAGTTTATTTAAAATTAGTGGAGACCTGCAAAATATTTGCATATGATTTACTTGTATATCATTATTGCAAAAATATAGTCATTTAAATCACCATTCAAATCACCACCGTTCCCCTCAATAATAAGTATACCACTTTGGATACTGTTGGGAGGGATGACCTACCAGGGGAAGCCATAGCGGCCAGGTCTGTGGCACGGAGCCTGGCTCTGTGGCTCAAAGGGAATGGGGGAAAATAGGAGATTCAATAGTTAGGGGAACAGACAGGAGATTCTGTGGTCGCAAACAAGACTCCCGGATGGTATGTTGCCTCCCGGGTGCCAGGGATGTCTCGGATTGAGTATACAGGATTCTTAAGAGGGAGGGTGAGCAGTCAGAAGTCATGGTACACATGGATACCAATGACATAACTAAGAAAAGGGATGATGACCTGAAAAGTGAATATGGGGAGTTAGGTTGGAAGCTAAAAGGCAGAATGAACAGAGTAGTAATCTCAGGTTTACTACCAGCGTCATGGGCTAGTGAGGCTAGGGATAGAGAGCGAGTGCAGCTGAGCACATAGCTACAGAACTAGTGTAGGAGGGAGGGCTTCAGATATGTGGATCATTGGGATACCTTCTGGGGGAAGGTGGGACCTGTACAAGAAAGATGGGTTGCACCTGAACTGGAGGGACACCAATATCCTTGCTCTTCAGGAGGGTTTAAACTAGTTTGGCTGGGAGATGGGAACCGGAGCTGCGAATCAGAGGATGGGGTAGCTGGTATACAGCATGCAGAAAATCTGTGAGGATGCATAGACAGTTGCAATCAGTGTGACAGGTTGAAGTGTGTCTATTTTAATGCAAGAAGTGTCAGGAATAAGGGTGATGAACTTAGAGCATCAGTATTTGGAGCTATGATGTTGAGGCCATTATGGAGACTTGGATATCAGAGGCAGGAATGGTTGTTGGATGTTCTGGGGTTTAGATGTTTCAAAAGAAATGGGGAGGGCGGTAAGAGGTGGGGGAGTGGCATTGCTAATCCGGAATGCTATCACGGCTGCAGAAAGGGAGGTCGTTGAAGAGAGTTTGTATACGGAGTCAGTATGGGTGGAAATCAAACAGGAAAGGAGCAGTCACTTTATTGGGAGTTTTCTATAGACCCCTCAATAGCAACAGAGACATTGAGGAACAGATTTTGGAAAGGTGCAGAAGTAATAGGGTTGTCGTCATGGGTGACTTCAACTTCCCTAATAATCAACTGGAACCTCCTAAATGCAAATAGTTTGGATGGAGCAGATTTTGTCAGGTGTGTCCAGGAAGGATTTCTGACTCAATATGTAGATAGGCCGACTAGAGGGAGGCCATATTGGATTTGGTGCTTGGCAATGAACCAGGCCAGGTGTCAGATCTCTCGGATTGAAATTCATTTCGGCGATAGTGATCACAACTCCCTCATCTTTACTGTAGTCCTGGAGAGGGATAGGAGCAGACAGTATGGAAAGGATTTAATTGAGGGAGTGGAAATTACAATGCTATTAGGCAGGAACTGCGAAGCATAAATTGGGAACAGATGTCCTTGGGGAAATGCACGACAGAAATGTGGGAGTTGTTTCGGGAACACTTGCTACGAGTGCTGGATAGGTTTGTCCCACTGAGGCAAGGAAGGGATGGTAAGGTGAAGGAACCTTGGATGACAAGACATGTGGAACATCTAGTCAAGAGGAAGAAGGAAGCAAGGATCGGACAGGGCTCTAGAGGGTTACAAGGTAGCCAGGAAGGAACTGAAAAGTGGACTTAGGAGAGCTAGAAGGGGGCATGAAAAAGCCTTGGCAGGTAGGATTAAGGAAAACCCCAAGGCATTCTGTACTTGTGCGAGGAACAGGAGGATGGCCAGAGAGAGGGTAGGACCGATCAGGGATAGTGGAGGAATCTTGTGCCTGGAGTCGGAGGTCCTTAATGAATACTTTGCTTCAGTATTCACCAGTGAGAGGGACCTTGTAGTTTGTGAGGACAGCGTGAAACAGGCTGATATGCTCAAACAGGTGATGTTAGGAAGGAGGATGTGCTAGAAATTTTGATAAACATGAGGATAGACAAGTCCCCAGGCCACACAGGATATACCCAAAGTTTATACGGGAACCAAGGGAAGAGATTGCTACACCTTTGGCGATGGTCTTTGCGTCCTCACTGTCCATTGGAATAGTACCAGATGACTGGAGGGTGGCAAATATTATTCCCTTGTTCAAGAAAGGGAATAGTGATAATCCTGGGAATTACAGACCAGTCTTACTTCAGTGGTGAGCAGATTATTGGAGAGGATTCTGAGATATAGTATTTTATGATTATTTGGAAAAGCACTGTTTGATTAGAAATGGTCAGCATGGCTTTGAGAGGGGCAGGTGATGCCTCATAAGACTTATTGAATTCTTTGAGATTGTGACAAAATACATTGAAGGTAGAGCTGCGGATGTGGTGTATATGGATTTTAGCAAGGCATTTAATAAGGTTCCCCATGGTAGGCTCATTCAGAAAGTAAGGAGGCATGGGATTCAGGGAAATTTGGCTGTCTGGATAAGGAATTGGCTGTCCAATAGAAGAGAGGGTGGTAGCCTGGAGCTTGGTGACCAGTGGTGTTCCACAGGGATCTATTCTGGGACCTCTGCTCTTTGTGATCTTTATAAATGACTTGGATGAGGAAGTGGAAGGGTGGGTTAGTAAGTTTGCCAAAGACACAAAGTTTGGTGGAGTTGTGGATAGTGTGAAGGGCTGTTGTAGGTTGCAACAGAACATTGACAGGATGCACAGCTGAGCAAAGAAGTGGCAGATGGAATTCAACCCAGAACAGTGAGAAGTGATTCATTTTGGAAGGTTGAATTTGAGTGCAGAATACAGGGTTAATGCCAGGATTCATGGCAGTGTGGAGGAACAGAGGGATCTTGGGGTCCATGTCCATATGTCCCTATGTCCCTCAAAGTTGCCACAGTTGTTAAGAAGGCATATGGTGTGTTGGCTTTCATTTGCAGGGGGATTGAGTTTAAGAGCTGTGAGGTTATGCTGCAGCTCTATAAAACCCTGGTTAGACCACACTTGGAATATTTGTGTTCAGTTCTGGTCGCCTCATTGTAGGCAGGATGTGGAAGCTTTAAAGAGGGTGCAGAGGAGATTTACCAGGATGCTGCCTGGAACAGAGGGCAGGCTTTATGAAGAAAGGTTGAAGGATCTAGGGCTTTTCTCATTGGAGTGAAGAAGGATGAGAGATGACTTGATAGAGGGGTACAGGATGATGAGAGGCATAGATAGAGTGGATAGCTAGAGACTTTTTCCCAGGGTGGAAATGACTATCATGAGGGGCCATAATTTTAAAGATGATTGGAGGAAGGTATAGGGGAGGTGTCAGAGGCAGGTTCTTTACAGTGGTGGGTGCACAGAATGCACTGCTAGTGGTGGTAGTAGAGTCAGATGCATTAGGGACATTTAAGCAACTCTTGGATAGGCACATGGATGATAGTAAAATAAAGGGTATGCAGGTTAGTTTGATCTTAGAGTAGGGTAATAGGTCGGCACAACATCATGGGCCGAAGGGCCTGTACTGTGCTGTACTATGTTCTATGTTCAATGTGATGCCAGTCAGTCAGTCTTCCAGTGCCACACTCATTGTTAAGCACTCTTGTCTACTCTTTCCTTGCAATAATGGCATCAGAGAAAATGTTCTTTCAGTATCTTGTCTGTAAGTTGTTTGTTTATTTCAGGTTTGGGAAGCCAAATGTATTACTGAAAGATGTGTATTTATAAAGTGGTTTTCACAGCCTTAGAATATCCCTGGCAAAATACTTGAGATGTAGTAACTGTAGAAAATAAACAGAAGTCCTGCAAGAATTTGTATGCTTTCTAAACCCATGTCTGGGCCCACAGTTGTAGCTGTACTTATCAGTTCTGATGTCCTTGCTGCCATTGCAGCTTCTTGCTAATATCTAACTGCCTAAAGTCATTAGTCTGCATATTTCACTGAATCCACCTGTTGTCTGTGGCTGTCCTAACCCTGAACCTGCTGCGTTTGAAATTGATCCTTGTTGTGACAATTTTCTGTCTAGGAGAGAAGAGCATCAAAATTTGGGTGCACTTTTGTACTCCCAATCTGCACCTGCTTTTAATGGCAATGTCATGTTGGTATGGCCACTTTTCAAATGTCCGAGAACAATACCTAACACAGATATTGGACGTCCCATTTACCAAGTACCTATTTAAGGTGCACTCACTAAAAGTGGTCTCCCATCTGCAAAGCAGGTGGTCATTCTAAAGGTGGGACGAGTTGGCTGTAACAGACACTTTAGCTGACTTATAGGCATTTACAGGCCTTGGAGAGAACATCAACCTAATTTCCTAGAATGATACTTGGGCTTAGATAGTTAAATTTGAGGCTTGTGTACCTTTTTTTAAAAAAAAAAAAGGTTAAATGTTGAGGATGATTTAACTATGTTTCAAATGATAAAGGGATTTGCAAGGGCAGATGTTTTAGAAATTAAAAAACATCTAAGGAGCAGCATGGCGGCTCAGTGGTTAGCACTGCTGCGTCACAGTGCCAGGGACCTGGAGTTTGCACATTCTCCCCGTGTCTATACGGGTTTCCTCCCACAGTCCAAAGATGTGCAGGCTAGGTGGATTGGCCATGCTAAATTGCCTGTAGTTTTCAGGGATGCGTAGATTAGGTGGGTTATAGGGGGTTGGGTCTTGGTGGGATGCTATGAGGGTCGGTGTGGGCTTGTGCCCATTTCCACACTGTGGGGATTCTATGTTAAAATTAGAACGAAGTTGCTTAGGTGTAAAAATCAGGAAAAACATCTTCATACAAATATTGTGGAAATCTGGAATTTGTTCCAGAAGGCTTGAATGCTCATAGTCAATTGAAATCTTTCAAGACAGACTAATGGGTCAGGAGGTCAAGGGATTTGGTGCAAAGGTGGGTGAATAGTGTAAAGATACATTTCATCTATCCATTATTTAACGGGACAAACTTGAGCTGAATGGTCTGTTTGTATTTCCAGAGTAATTTTGAAATTCAGGAAAAAAAATTCAGTGATAGACCTGTAGATCTGAAACAGAAGTTTAAAGTTTACCAATAACTAAGGAGTTCTGTGTGCAGCAAACTGCCTTTAACAGTCCTCCTTGGTTTCTGTGTTTTCTCTGCTGGCACAGCTGACCAGATTAAATATGTGAAAGCTGCAGTTTGCTACTATGGTTATGGATTCATGGATTTCTACCAGCTGCCCATGGATGGCAGTCTGGGTAGTCAAGATCTCCTTTTGGCTTTCTCATGGCTGCTACAGAGAATTCACCTGTTGGAGCAGCTGCTGAATCTGCATAGACTACAGTTGGAAGATAGAGCATCACTCTGCATGGTAAGCACACCCTGCAGCACACAGCAGCAGATTCCTTACTGGTAAGGTTTACAGACACAGCCACCTGCTCTGGTAGGTGACAAGAATTTGTCAGATTCTATTGTCATGTTCCCAGCTGACGACTACTGAGCAAGTAGAATCCCAGACTGAAATCTGACTTTTTTTTTTAAGATTTAGTGAGGGGTCTTTCACTGAAACCCTAGTATGTAACACATGCTGCAGAGATCTGGTTTTTAAAATATAAACACTTATTCCACAAAAGAAAAAAAGAATAAATAAATAAACCAAGCTATTTACATTTAACCCAATTTGAAAGATTTTGAAACAGTAAAGTACAATATTCCATCTAGTCTGCCAGCAAAGTTTTACAGTACCCAAACACCAGGAGAATTCACGTTTCTATCATACCTATAGGTTTAACTTGACTGTTTTTCAATTCTCAGTCGAGTGTCTGATAGCTTCATCCTTCAACTGAGCTTAGACTGTCTCAGTTTCAAATAACCCCTTCAGGGTCCTAACCAAATATTTGCTGTTCCAGAACTTTCAAACTAAAAACCTTTACACCAAGGTAACCTATTTCTAACTTTTCTGAACGAACTCCTTGTTCCAAGAGAACTGTTTCATACATCTAACTTCAATAAAGATGTCTGCAAACTGAACCCAAAAAGATTACCAAGCTCTGAGTGTTTTATCCAAGCAAAAAAAAAAATCCTCATGCTTCTAACTGAAAGCAGCCAAATACTCTTTAATGATTACCCTATCCACTTGTAAAACTCGCCCAATGCCATCAAATTCACATTAGTACTGCAAAAATATTCTCTCAATGGCTTCTTTCAAAAAAAACTATGGCTTCACACATACTGTCAAATTAATTGTTAAACCCCCTCATGCACACAGATTAAAACCCAAATGCTGCTAGTTAAAAATCCAAATTCTAAATGATATTAAATATATATATCTTGCACCTTGCATCTACCCAATGGATATTTACTCTTGGCATATCTGGTTCTAATATTCTGATTATGGCCCCTTCCGAGACGGTCCAAACAGTTTGTCTTTATTTACCTTGTCTTTTTCCCCTCTAATATAGAGTCATTTTGCAGGGAGGAGGATATTTGGCCCTTTGATAAATCACCTTTACCATTCTAAATTCTGGGAAGTACAAACCTAGTTTGTTTAATCCCTTATTTAGAATCAGAGTCGTACAGCACAGAAACAGACTCTTCAGTCCAACTTGTCAGCGCTGAGCAGACATCTCAATCTGACCTAGTCCCATTTGCCAGCATTTGGCCCATATCCTTTTAAACCCTTCCTATTCATATACCCATCTAAATGCCTGATAAAATGTTGTAATTGTACCTACCTCCACCACTTCCTTCAGCAGCTCATTCCATACACGCACCATCCTGTGTGAAAAAGTTACCCCTTGGGTCCTTTATAATCTTTTCCCTCTCATCTTAAACCTATGGCCTCTAGTTTTTGACTTCCCCACCCTAGGAAAAAAAGATCTTGGCTATTCACCCTATCCATGCTCCTCATGATTTTTAAACCTTTATAAAAAGGGTCACCCCCTGGCCTCTGAATAGAGGTATCACTGATGAATCAATGTTACAATCCCTCAAAGGCCAATATATGCTTCCTAAGATGTGAAGACCAGAACTGCAGTCAATTCTCAGGGTTTGTTCCACTCAGGACCTTTGCATACCCAAAAAACTTTCACTCATGGTAGTCTAGAATTGTAGATATAAAGGTCAGCATTCCATTAAGTCTTTTCTGTGATTGTTCTCTCTACTTGGTCCTCAAAGTCTCTGGATCACCACTATTTGTATCTTTTTATTGGTTCACCTGTTCTGTCTATTTTAGGTTTTAAGTGAGTGACCTGATACTTGTCTACATTGGAATCTATTTGCCACAGCATTGTCTATTTACTTCATCTATCAATGTCTCCTGGTAATTTTATGTTTCCATCCACACTGCTTGCAATTCTGACTTAATTGTGTGTTCAGCTATTTGACAGATGACTTCTTATGCACAATGTAAATTATTACTAAATATTCCAAATGGTTAAGGCCTCTACATGATCTTTACAGGACACTCCAGTCACAAATAGTGTATCTGCCATTATCCTCACTCTCAACTATCAGTTAGTTTCTTAAACTGATCAATAGTGTGTCTTCAATCCCATGGGCTTTAATGTTGGTTAACAGTCTCTTAAGGGACTCTCTCATACCTTCTGATGGTCTGTATAGGATCAATAACATTTGCAGACATTCCCGTGTTTTCTTGAATCAAAAGTCGTACAGCACAGAGAGAGAACTTTTTGGTCCAATTTGTCTGCACCAACCAGACATCCCCATCTAATTTAGTTTCAACTTCAAAAAATTCAGTTTGATTTTGCATGCTACACTTGTCCTTTACAAATCTATTATGCTGACTCTCTCCAATTAACTGAACTTTAGAATTTATAATTAAGGATAAAAATAATTCTCGTAACTTCCTGACAGCCAATGTTAGATAGCATAATAGAATGCCTACAGCATGGAAGCAGGCCATTTGGTTCATAGAGTTGACACCAAACCTCCAAAGACCATCCCACCCAGACCCAACCCCTGACCTTATCCCTGTAACCTTGCATTCACCATAGCCACTCCTGCACTTGTGTGGACATTATGGGCAATTTAGCATAGCCAATCCACCTAACCCGCACATCTTTGGACTTGAGGAAACTGAAGCACACAGGAAACCTACACAGACACTGAGAATTCCCAGAGTCCACATAGACTGTCGCCCGAGGCAGTCGAACCCAGGACCCTGGCACTGACAGGCAGCAGTGCTAACTATTGAGTCACCGTTCACCCATCAAAAAAAATAGGAGCAGAAGTGGGCTATTCCACCCATTGAGTTTGCTTTGCCTAAACTTTGCCTTTGTTACTTCTCTGGTCTCACTCTTGCTTAAACAGCTGAATTGACATGTGCAATTTTTCAATCTAAAAGGAGCAGTTCCTGAAGCAAGAGAACTTTGAATGGTTACATTTGACATCTGCAATGTTCTTGCCTTTCTTTAAAGCATTGGGTTTGAAAACATCTGATCTTCAGAATTTGCTATTCTTCATTTGGTATGCTGCTGTCTTTTTAAAAAAAATGTAATGTTAGTTTTCCTGCAATGTCTCACATAGTGACCTGCCTCTACTGTAGACAGTGACACAGTAATTATTTAGCATATCCACCATTTCCTTGTTGTCCTTTTCATTATTGGTTGCCATGGGACCCACATTGAATAGCAATTAAAGAAGCACAGGGTAAAGAGAGGGTGACAATCTCAATTTTGATCACTGGTCTGGCTATTTTTTGCAGCATGATGGTGGTGAGAGCAAACAGACATGGCATTCAAAAATATCTCGGTATCGTGAAACAATGATATCATAAGAAATTTGCTTTCCCCGGCTTTAAAAACAAAACATTGAAATAGAACATTTGGTTAGTATTAGCTAACAGTAATTATGATGAAGACTTTTGCTTTCAGTGCAAACAGACTCTACCATTCAGCCCCATGGAGAGATCAGACCTTCAGGAAAGCAGGCACCCAGTGGAGATGGATGTGCGATATCTGCAGTCTTTATATGGGAAGCTGCGTTTCCGCTGGAGAAATCTTTACAGTGCTCAGCAGGAGAGGTGTACTGCCCTTTATAAGGTATGTACAACACTTGCCTTTAAGCGGTATCCTCATTCCTCAGTATCAGGACCCATTGGGTCTAAGTTGTGCTTTATCAGATAAGGCAGGCTGGAGTCTGTTTCAAGGCAGCAACACTTGTGGTTTAGCTAATGCTGTGAACTAAGCTGTATGGATTATCGGTGCTGTTTCAACCCAAATGTGTATTTAGAATGTGTGCTGTGAAGTTGTCACTCAGGTTGGCCAGGCTCCCACAATCAAACCTCAATCTGGATTAAAATGACAAGAGAATTTGTTGCAATGGTTAATTTTGTTCATCTTTCAAGCAAAGATGACCATGTTTGTTATCTCAAGAAATAGTCACATTGCATGGAAACAGACCCTTTAGTCCAACTAGTCCACGCCAAACATCTTCCCAAACTAAACTAGTGCCACTTGCCTGCATTAGGCCCATATCTCTCCAAACCTTTCCTATTCATGTACTTATCCAAATGTCTTTTAAATTATTGCAACTGTGCCTGTTCCTCTGGCAGTTCATTCCACACTCAAGCCACTCAGTTTTTAAAAAAGTTGCCTTTTTTTTTTTTTTTTTAAAAAAAAGACTTCTCCTCTGACCTTAAAAATTTACCCGCTAGTTTTGAACTCCCCCCTCCCCAACCATGGAAAAGATCCTTGCTATTCACCTTATCTATGCCCCTCATGACCTTATAAATCTAAGATCACCCCTCAACCTCCTACTCTCCAGTGAAAATACTCCTAGCCTATTTTTATAACTCAAACCTCCATTCCTTGCAACATCCTGGTAAATCTTTTCTGAACCCTCTAATTTAATAATATCCTTCCTGTAGCAGGCAACCAGAACTGCACACAGTACTCCAGAAGAGGTCTCAATGTACTGTACAACCTCAAATTCTGGTGTTTCGAATGTTGTGGATGGCTGCTAAGAACTTTCTGGGCATAGATTAGTCTATGACAAATGGGACAGGATCCCGTAAATGATTAAGTTTTAAATGAATTGCTAGTTCAGGATTTCTTCTTGCATTTCTGTGTCTCTGACTTCAGATTTCTATAGAAGATTCAAATTGGTAAGTGAGTATTAGGCATTCTGGCTATATGACCAGGTTGACCCAGTGTGATTGTCTCAGCGAGATAGTGTGGATGCTTGGCATTGCCAGTTTGGGTGAGCACCTCCAGTGTCTGGTATTTTGCCTACTATCTGATCTTCAGTCATTTCCAAAAGGTAGTTCAAATGGAAATGATTTGAGCTTCTTGGAATAACTCAGGAACAGTCCCAATCTCTTGTCTGAACGGCAGAGTGGGCTAGACTACAGCTTTCAGTTTGTTTGGCAACAACTAGAAGCTTCTGAGCATAGCATGAAGCACTTCCCCCGCCAAAGACTGAACCTTGTATCTGTTTTTAGGGCCACTGAATTAAGTCTTATTCTGATTTATGATGTTGGATTTCAGATCCATTTGTACACCAAAGGATGTAGCAGCAGCCAGAGCTTTGATCATTTGTCTGCAACCGAGGCACGTCTGACCCAAGATCATGAACAGTACACTGAGGTGAGCTGGCTGTGGCCCAGAATACTTTTCTTGCAGAGTACTACTACAAAAATCCTGTGACTTTCTTTTTACAAATTCATTTGTCAGCTAACTAAACCAAATTGTCTGTATTTTACACTTTAGATAATTCCTTATCAACTTGTTCAGAGATGTTACTGCACACATCTGGAGCAGGTGGGACTTGAAACAAGTTTCCTGGCTCAGAGGTAGTGACACTATCGCTGTGCCATTAGAGATCACTAAATTTTAAGGTTTTATTCACCCAGTTTATATTGTGCACCTTCAACCCAATTAAGCTATTTTCAAATCAACTTATTCAGAGGTGTGATTACACATCTCTGGATCAGATGTAGGGACAAATTCCAGTACCTGGTCTCAGCTGACTGTCAGTGGTCTGTACGTTTGCCCGAGTGCTTGCTGAGACAAGACTTTCCCTTGCTTCTCACATGCCTACTCAATTATTGAAACTATGGCCATTGCTGCTCTCTGGTTCTAGACTACATTTTAGATGGTTGTTCTACAGGAACAACTATTGAATGATAATATCCCATGGGAGCCATCTTACAATTCATCCAGTCAGCCATTGACATGCTAACCAAGTTGGCACAGTAGCTGTTTAAGTGTGGTAGATCACAACTGAGGCTGACTTTCTCCTTATCTAGTTGCTTTACAGGGCACCTCAGTAGGAATAGCTGGATAGTGATGGGGAGTGCAATTCTTGGGCAATTTTCCACTCCAAGTGAAGGAGTCTCCGGCCAGTTTTAACAGTTCTGTAGTCTCTCTGGTTAGGGTCAATGAACAGCCCAGAGTGGGGCTCCAACCTAAGCCCATCTTTTGCTGTGTGGTTCAGCAACCCAATGCTTTAATCATCTGAGGCACTGGGGAATACTTCCTAGACTACCAATCCAGCAGTTGTGATCCAAGATATAAAAATTCCAATAACGAGACTGGATTTTTACAGCAATATGTAAATAATTTGTTCTGATTACAGTTCTTTCAGATCTTTCTCTGATCAATTTATACTTGCCACCCCCCCTGACTTTTGACCTCCTAACTGTGCCTGTCTGGATAATCTTTGAGGATTCATTCATGCAGTCATTTAAGCTGTTCTGCCAAACACCTTCCCCTACACATAAATCACTGCTTCAGGTTATCAGGATATGTCTTGACCTTTTTCCTAATGTAATTTGCAATGTTGTAGTTTGTGCAGCTGCTGGAGCGCGAGAACGTACAATTGGAGGCATACCTGGAATGGAAGCGGCTAGAGCCCATATATTGGCAATGGATGGTAAGAGAAATTTTCTTTACAGAGTAGAGTGGGCAGAAATGTTCCTAATTCTAAATCCTGCACACTATGCTCAATAGTACAGATGTAGATAGCATTGTTGGGCTTCTAGTTGAAATCAGTTTGTGTAGGTTTGCCCCACTGATTTGGGAATTAAAGAGCTGATTTTACTAAACTGAGCTGAATGGTAAGAAGCTTGGAGGAGAGTGCCCAAGATTTTCTAATTAAGAATTCCCACCAAGTGAGGCTCCTCACCTGGAACTCTATTGCAAATAGAGTCCTGAGCTTTCAGATTAATTGAGTTTCCTACAGGGCTGTAGGAGTGACCTGTCAAGAAGGAACAAGACTTCACCCTCTGTTTTAAAGCTTTAAAACAGAGCACCAGTGTTTCAGCTGTTATTTTGTGAATGCAATGGCTGTAACTGATGTAGAACCTACAAAAAGAATGCCAGCCATAGTTTTGCTGGTGGAGTCCTGCTGAAATCCACATTGAGACTCATCACAAATTACATAGCCAAATGGAAAGCATTCCCAAAAACCTTGCAAGCTAACCAATTTTTCTAGTTTCAACAGGAGTGTTTCACGAGGTTTCCTATTTTCTCCCTCATCTCTTTCTCCAGGAATTCAGTGTTTTTCTTGCTGCTGACAATATGACAGATAATGCCAGGAGTATCGTCCCAGTATTCACAAGGATTGTAAATTATTAGGTTGTAGATTTAGAAGGTTTTTGGAGACAATAGGATTGTTGCTGTTCAACTTAGTCTTCAAAGTAGAGGGATGGGTGGGATCTAATCTGATACACAATGGAATTAATAAATCTTGTTCCTTCTCAGGAAAGTGTGCTGTCTGCCAAGCTGCAGGAAACCCAAGAGCTGCTGAATGTTGACATTACAACTGTCACTGTCCCCTCATTCAATCAGAGGGAGAATTGCAAGGAACCGGATATCTTCAGGGAAACAAACAAACTTTACAATGAGCTACTGAAGCTGCAGTCAGAGCTACAGGACCGGAGAAGGATGAAGGATGAAAGGGTACTTTGGAGTGAAATACTGCACTTTGTTTGGAGAACCACCTCCAGTCAGGTGTACAGCCCTACAGGCAACTGTAGAACTATCCTTTTGACTTAAATTCAGAATGAGGAACATCATATTTGTCCTGAGAATATGGGTATCACTATCCAAAAGAAGCCAACCATGGGCCTATTTCTTGAACTATTGCTATCTGTTTAGTGATCAAGCTTTTACAATGCTGAAAATGAGGGTAAACTGCATTTATTCAGTATAGAATTGGATAAGGGTATAACTCAAATCACTCATTTATCTGTTTTTTTGAGAATTTTAGAATTAGGATATCCTACTAAGGGAAATTTTTTAATGCAAATATTTGAAAGGAGTAATGACCCCTTACTCAACCACTCCCTATGACAAATCATTCTGTGTGCCAATCATGTGTAAAGAAATACTTCTGACCTCCCTCATTCTTTGTGACAATTTAAATTGATGACCCACACTGATATTATGTAGCAGTGAGATTGTTTTTTTTATTCCCTGTTCATTTCATAAAAACGTCATTCTTATATTAATCTCCATTAGATTTTCTCTTTGCATTCTCTGCTTCATACTCTCTAATTCTAGGGTCTCAAGTTTCTCTCGCACCAAGGTTTTTTGCACCTATGTCCTACTTTCTATTTTGAGGGGGGTATACAATGTTAGGAGTTATAATATCCCACTCTGGGTTCAAGCTACCAAATATTCAAATGTCAGCAATGCCTTCGATCATTTACATCAGTAGATCCTACAAGTGGTACAGAATTGTGCCTCTGGGTGGGACCTAGTCTCTTGCTGAGTCCTAACATTTTTCTCAGTAAGCATGGGCTTTCAACTTTGATCAGTGTGGCACCAAAACATTTGGCTAATTTTAGCTTTATCTTCTGGCTGTAGAATACACAGGGTGGAAGCTTAGAGATCCAACACAGCCATTTCCATCAGCAATTACTTAGTTCACACAATTAGCATGGGTAATTCAATGGATGATTTCTTTCTTTCCTTGGAAAAGAGAGTGTCTCTCTAGAGTTCCACTGATCTTCAGGATGCAACAGGTCAGAGCAGGTGAGATGGAGATGATTTCAAAGTCAAGAAAGGGCATATCATTGTATTTCACCTCCCAATTTCATTAATTGTTTTATGCTCAATTACTGAAAACACTACAAGTTGGATCTCAGCCTTTGCATGTTTTCTGCTGAATTTGATCATTGTAGTTCAAAATCCCACTCTACAGACATGAGGACAAAACCCAGGATTTGGGAACTGTGCTGTCAGAGGGGTGACCTTAAGACACCTGTTAATCCAAGGAATCTGAGTTAATGTCCACTTAACAATTAAGTGTTGTGATTTGCATTGCAACTTCTGACCTCTATCTGCCTATATTTCTGTAGATTAAAGACCAGGAGCGAACTATGGGAGATCACATAGGATGGCATAAAGCAGTGTTCCTGACATGTGGTGATGTGGAGCAGAAACTGGCAGCAGTACAATCCAGAATGAGCCAGGAGAGAAGACGACATGGTGAAGTCAGATTGGCATTGAGAATCAACTCTACTCCCACTCCTATCAGGAGTGGACCTCCCACTGCCCAACAACATAACCGCTCAGGGAGTCTCACTGCATTAGAAATGATCGCACAGCTAGAAGCTGAAGCGATCCTATTAAAGGAGGAACTCCAAGAACTGCAGCAACTTTCCAAAGAGGCTCTTGGAGAGATTTTGGAGCATCTGGATGGAGTGATATGCATTCCACCAATGCAGCGATGAGACTCTGGGAATTCATAGACAAGTTAGTGACAATGCAGTGACAAATGGGCAGATCACATACAGGCCATTTCTGCTTACTACTGTCACTCATGGATTTGTTCTCTGCAGTAAGACAATACATCCATAGGCATCTGATCTTGGTTGTGTTAAAAGGTCCTAATGGGGAGACTCAGTTTATGTATGGTGTATCAGAGATAGACAGGAAGAATTGTTGGGCATGTTATGGTTTTAAAAAGACAAAAAACATTAAAGAATCAGTCAGTCATGATGTGTTTTGTTTTAAAACATTTTATTTGCTTTGTATTTTTTTGAAGGCAAGGTGTCATGATTTACTTTGACTAGCCCTATGCTTGCCTAAAAATGTGTTAACCACAGAAAGGAAACCATTTAGTCCTATAGGTCTGTTCTGCCATTCAATTAGATTTGGTTGAAATGTCTCTTGGAAGAGATCCAGAACTGAACAACTTAGCTCTAACTTTAAAGGTAATGCCCCTTTATTTTGGATTTCTGTTGTCAAAAAGAGCATTTTTTTTCTCCATTCTACTGAACAATGAGATCATAAAATTTCATATTACTGAACATTTTTATCCCCTGCTGGTTCGCTGTACAAAAATCAGCCAGGTTAGACTGTAAAGCCGTGATGAAACAACAAAGTCCTTCCCAAGCTTTCAGTCAGAAGTGTAGGCAAAAACTGATCTAATAGCCTGGGTTTGAGGAACTGGAGTGCCTGACGTGGGGGGCTCCAGATCAGAGATCTTCAATCCCATGTTATTGCAATCCACTGCCACCCATCCCAGCCTAGTTTTTATTCAAAGTCAGCACGAACAGCCAGATCTTGAACATTGTTCTTGTGACAGGTTATTCTTGTTTTGATTTTACACTTGTTGAAAAATGTCACCATAAACTACTAAAATTCTTGACCAGACAAAAACTAAGAGAATCTTGAGAAATAAATTGAGAGTCTATGATGTGCATCTGGGATCATTTGTTGAATGATGAATCAACTTTCCATAGTTAGTTTTTCCATATTATGAAAATTAACCATTCCTCCAATGCCTGCTTCATTTTTATAAAGTCAGTTAAATATCTTCTTGTTTATCACTTACCCTCTGAACAGAATCTATAGGATTTGAGATGGAGAGAATCAGGCAAAAAAGGGAGCTGCTGCACTGTGATGATTCTGATGCATTTCCTGATGCTGGAGACTTAAATCTTTGTGTAATGGGCACAGTTTCAGAATTTTCAGATGATACAGAAAATGTGTGAATAGTGAGGAGGTTAGTGTAGAACTTAAAGGATGTGGGATGGTGGAATGAGTAGAAAAGTGGCAGATGAAATGTTAATGCAGAAACATGGTGATTATTTTGGTTGGAAGAATGCAGACAGACAATACAAAGTAAAGGATCGAGTTCTAAAGAGGAAGTGTGTATGTACATAAATAATTGCAAGTTGAGATAGTGGTTAATCCTAGGCCTTTATTAAAGGAACTTAGCTTCTTTGCTTTTATACTCTTAGCACACTAGTTCAACCACATTTTAGGAGGAATGCAAGGGCACCAGAGGTGAGGCATGAAAAATTTCTGCTATCTCTGTTGGATGTCTCCAACATCGACAATTCAAAATGCCATTTTAAGTATAGGTTCCAATTTTTGGAGCTGGTATGGGTCTTAAAAATTGTCATTGAGAGCTGAAGATAGCAAGAACTGCAAATGCTGGAATTGGAGATACCACAGTATGGAGCTGGAGGAACACAGCAGGCCAGGCAGTGTCAGAGGAGCAGGAAAGTTGACGTTTTGGGTCAGGACCCTAGAAGGGTCCTGGCCTGTTACATTCCTCCAGCTCCATACTGTGTTGTCATTGGACAGCTGGAACTTACTGCATAACTATGATTAGAGGAAAAGCAAGTATTGGAGAGACTGAAGCTTCTGTCTCTCCTACTGTAGCTGTTCCAGCTTCTCCACTCACAGGATCCCTCCCACTCTTGCTGCACCTTCACAGACAGTATCTATGTTCGGAGGAACAGCAGGTGTGGGTGGGAGAGACCCTATGATTGGAGGAACTAGAGTTTATTCTGTTTCTGCTATTCCCACCACACTGGAAACTGAGCTGTTCTAGTTGTTGTATTGACATCCTCCAGAAGGCTGAAGAGATTAAACAAAGTTTGGGGCCTGGAAGTAGGGCCTCTCTGCCAATAACTAGGCCACAGTGGACACTGGGATCCTCTCCCAGGCTGGATGTGACTGCTGTGTACATCAATACCTTAAACCAGTGCCAAGGAATTGGGACATGTTAATTTGATCCCCTTTTACTCTGAACTCAGTGAATTAACCGGAGCAAGGCAAGTGCTTTGGCAGTGTTTGGAGCAATCAAGGCACCTCAAGATGTTCTTGAGTGGGCAGTGATGTTGGTGCAGGGACAGGAATAGGAGTTCCCATTTGCTCTATAAACACTTCGGAAAGAAGCAATTAAAGGCAGGGCCAATTTGACTGCATTCTTGAAGCACATCCTGCTCTAATTTTATAATGAATTGGATTGCTAGTGGGTGCAGAGATATGCCACAAAAGTAAGTGAAGCAGAGTGCAAGATTTAGTGTACAGGAAGAATGTGTTCCTTTGCAGAATCAACTAAAAAAAGAAATTAGTCCCTGTTTAGTTTCCCAGCTATCCTCAGAGTAACCGTCAGGCAAGTAGCCAAGAGGTGAATGAATAAAGGCGAGTTGGACATTGTTGGGAAGGGTATAGGATTTGAATGTTTGATATCTGGAAATGAGCTGGACACCAGATATTAGGAATAAAGGGAATGTGAGATTGGGCAATTAGACAACAAACATGGAGGGTAATAAGTGACTTGAACAACAGATATTGGGTCCAGGTGAGTTGGCATTTAGACATGGTGAGGGTGTTTAATGGTCAGTTATGGTTATGATGTCCTATGACATGTCAATGCTTTCTGAACCAGGTGCCCAGATGTCCAGACCATGAGGCTGAAGGACAAACCAAACCTAAGTAAGCTTCCCTAAAAAGAAAATAGGGACTGGAACCTATTTGTGGCTCACAGTCTCCTCAAGATTACAGGTGCTGAGAGTCTGAGTTTAACTTGCGGTTTCAGGACTGCTGCATGCAGCACTCTACAGCAGATCCAGTGGTAAGGGAGAGAACGCCTGTGTAGCAAACCCTCTACTGGGGTGTCCTACTTTGTAGTTTTAAGCCAATACAGCCAAATTAAAGGGATTGTCATCCATTTATTTATTTTAAAGGGCACTAACAACAAAAAAAATTAGTGTCTTCAAATTTTCAATGAACTGTATTTCTAACCAATTTGTTCAGAGATGTTACTATACACCTGTGGAGCCAGAGAGACTTGAACCCAGGCTTCTCTGGTCTGGGGCAGAGACACCACCCTTGCACTACAAGAGGGTCTACTTCCCCCCTCTTTATATTATTTTAAAATAGCCAATTAAGTTGACTTGAACCAAGTGAACAAATTAACAACCCCTTTAAAAGGGGCTCAGTGATAAAAGGCAACCCCAAATGCAGCTTTCAAATTCAAAGTAAAAGTTGGTTTTGTGGAATAATTATGCACTCTGTAGCTTCTGTTGGAAAGTCTGATTTGATGTCTGTATTTATACTATTTTTAAATTTAAAACAACTAAATCCAGTTAAATGAAACAGGAAACAACCTTAAAAGGGCAAACTGTAAGGTAAGAAACTTGAAATTTAAATTTATTTGGTATTCTTTTTTCTTAAATTAATCCTACGCTACTACCGTACAGCAGAAGTGCTTACTCTGCTGCCTTGGCCAGTCTCAGGAGCAGACCCATGGAGGTCCTCCAACCTGCCCACTCTCCTCCACACTGGGTGCCAAAAGATCAGGAGTGTGGGGCTGAAGTGTAACCAGAAATCACAAAAGAAGGTCCTTCAGGTATCTAAAAAAGGGAGTACAAACACCCACACCCAATATACCTGTGGTCCACAGGCTCTTCAGCACCACAAAAGATATTCGGGCTGGGAGTTAGTGAACCGCAGCAATGTGCAGTTACGAGGGACTGCTACATGCAACACCTTCCACCCCAGATCCTGGAGGGAAATTGGTATTTCTCTTCAGAGGTAGTTAATTAAACCAGTTGACGTTAAATCAAAACAAGGTAACTGTGATGATCCTTAGAAGGGCATGGCCCTCTTTGCACCATTTTTAATGACCAGTAAAACAATGAAGCTAACTTAAAGCCAAATTAAGCCAGATGGACCCTTAAAAGCGTGCATTGTTAAATTTCCATTGGACCTTATGCAAGTTGCATTAAAATTTGGTTTTGTGGAGTGATAATGTACTGTGGTGCCCACTGGTCAAATGTCATCTATGTAACTCTTATAACTACTCTAGGCATCTAGTTAAGCATATTCCTCCCTTGTCTCACACACACAAGCAGTTAGCCCTGCAGCTTCATCTGCAGATGCCTACCCAACAGACATCTAGAGGACACAGTACGCCCAACACACTGGCCACACATCAAGGACATATTGGAACTGACAACAAGACTACTAAGACCACTAGAAATCGTGGTGGTTCACAAACCCACAGCCACTCTTTGTCAAACACTCAGATTTAAAACCCCCATTCCCACAACATGGTTTACAAAATACCATGCAACGACTGCCACAGACATTACATTGGCCAGACAGGAAGGAAACTAGCCATCAGAATACATGAGCATCAACTAGCAACACAATGGCACAACAAACTCTCCTTAATATTGGCACACTCAGACAATGAAGACTATCAATTTAACTGGGACAAGGTAACCACAGTAGCCCAAGCCAAACAGGCATGCATGGGAATTCCTAGATGGAAGGTTCTCCACCTGTAATGCAATCAAACAGAATTGGACTCCATACACAAACCCATACAGAACAAAAAAATGACACTACTCACCATAACGGACCAAACAAATTCCAAATAGAGCAGAATAACACCACTTCATCGGAGGCTCCACTGATGTCGTCACCTAGCATGGTAAAAAACATCTGAACGAGAACAAGCCACCTCAGCGAGCAAGTCAACAACCTCACACAACCCAAGCTACAGATCTTGCCAAAAAACTTTGAACAGACTTTAATGACTATATGCTGAATGTTGCTGTGCTATGTTTGTTAGTTTTCAATAATTTATTTTACATTTTCATGTGTTGAGCATTGCTGGCAAAGGAGCCATTTATTACCCATCTTTAATTGCTGCAAGAGCGTGGTGGAAAGTTTTCAATGTGATCACATTGAAAAATACTATTGCAGTCCTTTGCTTCATTTTACATATATGTAACCCAGCAAAGTCATGTTCTGTTCTTAGTGTGAACTTCATTCTGTATTACATACAGACTGCATTGAATGCTAAAGTAATTTTGGTGATTTTATACAAATACATGTGTTCCTGCCAAGCCTGTGAACCAAAGATAAACAGAATGAACATTAATAAAATGGTGAGTGCAAGTTTTGTGCTTCCATCTATTTGATTTGGACCAGCAGGATTTGCATTCACTGCTGCTAGTTGTGGCTACTCTTGGCAGGAGATCTGCTGGCATGGCATGCCACACCTGTCAATCCCACACATCCACTGTAGATGTGCATTTGCTACATGTCATTAAAAGTTGTAAGTTACATATTTCTTGGTTTGAAACACTTTAGTATTTGGCCACTCATCCCTGAGTGCAGAAAAAGAAAGAAGTGAAAATGATTCTAGCACATTATGTTAAGGATGTTGGTGAGGCTTCTTCTGGAAGACTGTGTCCAGTTCTGGTTGCCCTGTATTAGGAAGGATATTATTAAGCTGGAGAGGGTTCAGAAGAGATTTAAGTTTTGCCAGGAGTGGAGGGTTTGAATTATGGGGAGAGGCTGGATAGCCTGGGATAACAAGGTTTAGAGCTGGATGAACACAGCAGGAAAGCTGACATTTTGGGTCTAGACCCTTCAGAAAGTTTTGCCAAAGAACCAAAGAATCTGTATGACTCTTGATTCTATTCTATGAATTCAGTTGTATAGATAGATTGGAGAAATTGGACTGTTTTCCTTAGAGAAGGTGGATTTGATTGAAGGTATTCAAAATTGAGGGGTCTGGACAGAGAAATGGGGGATAGATTCCTATTACTGGATGGCTCATGAGTGAGAGGGCACAGATGCAAGGCAATTGTTAAAACAAGGTGACATGCAGGAAGTGGTCAGGTTAAAGAATGTGCTGTATGAGGAGATGGAGACAAATTTAGAAGGAAATTTGGTTATTATCTGTAAAGGAAGAATATGCATGGCTGAGGAATAGGTAGGCTAGTGACTGTAGATGAATTACTCCTCCAGAGGTAGCACAGGCATAATAGGTCAAACAACTTTCACTGTTGTTACAGAATCTTAAAGAAGGAGGATGCAAGAACAGAATTCAAGAAGATGGACTATGAAGCTCTGAGCAAGTTAATAAAAGTAGTAAGGGGGTATTGGAGTTTTTGGTGGGTTTACAAGTGGATAAATACTGAGGTCTTGAGGAGTTGTATCCCAGGCTACTATGGGAGGGGAGGGAAAGAAGTTGCAGGGGCCCTGATGTTTAAATCATTTCCAGCCACAGGGGGAGGTGCCAGAGAACTGGAGGACAGCTAATGTCGTTCCACTTTACAAAACAGGTTGTAGAGATAGACCTAGAAACTATAGACCGGTGAGTATAACATTAGGAGTAGGGAAACTATTGGGTAAAATAGTTGAGGAAATTAATCTCCATTTAGAAAGGCAAGGTTTGATCAGGGATAATCTACATGCTTTTTCAAGAGGGAAGACATACCTAACAAAATGGGTGGAATATTTTCAAGAAGGTGACAGAGTGTTTGGATAAGGTAGAGCAGTTGATGTAGTTTACATGGATTTTGGCAAGGTGTTTGACAAGGTCCCTCATAGCAGACTGATAAAGGTAAAAGTTTATGGGATCCAGGGTAACTTGGCAAGTTAGATCAAAAATTGACTGAGACAGTGGTAAGAAAGAGTGGTGGTAGAAGGCTGTTTGTGTGACTGAAGCCCAATAAACAGTGGTTTACCACAGAGATCAGTGCAGAGTCCCTTGTTTATAATATTCACAAGTGATGCAGATGAGAATATGGGTGCGCAGAGGGAGAAAAATTATAACTTTAATGTCTAACAAAATTTTGGCTGTGGTTGACAGTGAAGAGGAACTTGTCAAGTTACAGGCAGATCAGTGCTGATGGAATTTAATTGTAAAATGGGAGGTGATGCACTTTGGAAGGAGGAATAAGACAAGGGAGTACTCTACTGGCAAGATACAAAGAAGCTCAGAGGAAAAGAGCGCTCTTGGGGCCTTGTTCACAGATCTCGGAAGACGAGATGGACAGGGTGGATAGAAAGCAGAGGTTCTCCTTAGCTTAATGGTCAATAACAATGAAGCATAGTGCAGGAAAGTGACACCAGTGTCAGTGGTATTTTATCTTTGGCAGTACAGACTCAATGGGTTGAATGACCTATTCTGTACTGCATGATTCTAAGGCAGTAACTCACCATAGTAAGAGGTAACACTTCAGTGTCCTAAGTGTAGGGTAAGGATTATTAAGTTACATTGGCAGGTTTGTATGTCAAAATATGAAATCTATGGGTGGGAGTGATGTCTGAGAATCAACAATTGGTTACCTTACTCCTTGCATTTTTATCCTATCATTCCTAATTGATTGTATCAGCAATAGGAGAATGTGAAGGACTGGGGATCTAATCCTGCCTAAAAATGTCCAGTATGCTCAAAAGTTCATATTGTACATAACCAATTTGTGAATCGACTTTGCCAGTTTCACATGTGGCAGAGTATGTTTGATCATTGCAAAAATCACCCTTATGCACAACCTGGAATTTAGAAAGTGAATTCCCTTAAAAATATTCGCACAAAATGTGATTTGCTGGTAAGTGACTGCATTAGCTCTGTTTTCTGAAACAAACAAATCACAGATCACAAAATAAGAGGTTAGAAGCAATAAAAACAAACAAACACGAGAGACTTATTAGGAAAAACAGAAGTAACTGGGAGAAAACCGAAAACAAGAGGCAGAGCAGTTCTGAAAATGCGAAAGTGCAGAGCTTTGTAACAGATTGACTGACCAGAACCGAAAAACAAACAGTTTGCCTATTGTGTAAAGGTTGCATTTCATTCCCCCGGGGCTTTGAATTATTTCAAAATTCGAGCATTGAAGTGAGACGAAAGAAAAACACTCCGAATATTGGATATCAGACGGTAGAAGAGAATATTCTTGAACTAGTCCATAGGCCAGACTGGAAAGTACAGAGCTCTTAACTAATGCCAATGCATCTGGCTTTGCTTCGATTGTCAAATAAATTTGTTCCCTCCATAATGGCGGCTTCCGGAGGTGTCCCACTGATGTCACTGGAAAGTGGTCTATCACTGAGCCGGAGGGACAAATTGAACGACGGACATAGAACACCCGATTTCCGGTGGTGGCTGAGTGAAGACAGAAACGGTGAGGGAAAAGAAAAGTAGGGCAGGAATAAGGACGAGAGTGTGAGTAACCTATTCCTGCGGTTTCTTGTGAAACTTTGAAGCGCACACACTCGACTAGAACCTCTTGAGATGACAGCCTCAGCTATTGTCAGACTTTTGTAGGTGAAATGATTCACAGTCGAAAGCTCCTGGTTTCAGAGCTTTCACGTGGTTCGAAATGTAGATCCTGTCTTTTCCAAACCAGCCCCTACTTTTGGCACAGTCTCAATCAAAACATTACACAGGAGGGTGTCCATCTGTCTGTAATGATCAGTGATCGGAGATCATCAATAAGTACAGTCGCACCAGGAACCTCACGGGCTGTACACTGTATTCGAACGGTGTAACTCCAAGTGGAGAAAACAATATCAAAGCGACACGGAGACCCTTTTAGCGAGCTTCCAACCTCGAGCAACATCTTAGTAACAGGCACCAGTGGGAGCAGACAGCTGGCGAGATTATAGGGTTTTTTAAAAATCAACTTGTTCAGAGATGTAATAACATACCTCTGGAGCTTGTGCAACTTGAACCCGGGCCTCCCGAATCTGAGATAGAGACAATACCACTGTGCCTAACAGCTCCTCGCTAGTGGGATTTTATAGTGAGTCTTGTCTTTTCCTCCAGGTGCACTGGTTGATTGCTGCTTTGGGGAGGTGCCCAGGCTGCCAATGATCTGTTAAACTGTTGGAGGTGTTTTGGATACTTTAATGGAGGAGGTAAGTGATCACATTATAGGAATTAATATTAGTCTAAGCTCTCTTTACTTTTCTCCTGACACAGTTGCATGTTAATTGATTACTGCCCTCCTCGATAGAGTGGCAGGCAAGGTATTCACCAAAATGGTTAGGATATGAACTGGGCCAGTCCTTTCATACAATATCTTGAATATTTGTATATACAGGGGATGCAGCTTGTGTTGTCTTTGCCTGATTCCCTTTATGATAGGGAAATCATGTTGAACAAATTTTTTGAAGCTCTTTGAGAAAGTTACGTGCTATGGATACAAGAGAACCAATGGATATGCCAAGAAGGCATTTGACAAGGTGCCACATCAAAAGTTACTGCAGAAAGTAAAAGCTTGTGGTGTAAGGGATAACATGCTTAGATTATAGTTAGAAGATTGTCTAGCTAGTAGGAATCAGTAGGCATTTATGTCATTTTCTAGTTTAGCCATTATAACAAGTGGTGTGCCATAGAGAGCAGTGCTGAGTCTCATCTTTTCAGTTTATATAAATGATTTGGATGAAGGGAAAGAAGGAATTGTTGTTAACTTTGTTATCATTGCTAAGATAGGTAAAGTGAAGAGGACACAGGGCTGCAAATATTTATAGATAGGTTGTGAGTGGGCAAATATCTAGCAAATGTAATATAATCTGAAATAATATGAAATTATCCATTTTGGCAGGAAGTATAAAATTTATCTAAATGGTAAGAGATTACAGAGCTCTGAGAAAGTGATTTTTGCTTCACAATGTATTTTTAAGAATATATTAGGAGTGCTAATGCAAAGAAAAGTGACACTTTAATATCACAGCACAGATTGTAATTATTATTACTTGTGGCCCATGTTGAATGTCTGTTCTGACTTTTGTTTAAATTCTTGGATGGGATGTGGATATTGTTGCTCATTCTCAATTATCTAGAACAGTTTTCTCGGTGCTGCTTTCCTATTGTCGCTCACAGATTGGTTCGTTAAAGCTTTTTGTCTGTTACAGAACCTCAACAAGAACATCCAGGTGGAGCTGGATTGTGGGATCCAGCAACTACAGACTGGGGTCTCCCAGCTCAAACTGTCATCAGAACACGGTAAGCAGTCAATCCCTATTGGACAGCCCAGTGTTAGTAGGTAGTGAGAGGGTCTGGTTGCTGATGTCATGCTAACTGGTTTATAGTTTCCTGTTTTTGGCTTTCAGTTCTTGAATAAAGAAGTTATATGTTTTACTTCTTTTCAGTTCTGATGGACCCGAACCCGAGTGCATGCACTGTGAACCTCATCTCTCTGTTTCAAAGTTTTGAGGGAAGTTTTTTGTTCTTGGTAAAACAAAAACTTCCAGCTAACAAAAACATTTTTGAAAAAGAAAATATAAGAGTGTCCCTATCCTGAGATGTGGTTGATGGCTAAGATTATAAGAAACAGGCTCAGGAGTAGGCACTGGGCCAGTTGACACTGTTCCACCATTCAGTAAGTTCGTGGCTGATCTGATGTTGGTCTTAATCCTATTTTCCTGCCTACTCCCATAACCCTCAGTTTCACTGTAGATGAAAAATCTGTCTAAAGTGGCCTTGAATATAGTCGGTGACTTAGTCTCCACTGCAGTCTATGGATGAGAATTCCAAAGATTAATGACCCACTTCAGAATAATGAAAGGAATTGACAAAGTTCATGCAGATAGGAGGAATGTTCTCACTGCTGCATGACTCCTGAAGCTGTAAGGTTTGTTTATTTCACAAAATTAAAGACTAATTTATCAAAAAAATAGCTAAGAGACAATTGAAAATAAAGATGCAGGATAATTCTAGTGGTATTTCTGAGACAGTTCCTTGTTTCCCTTTTTTTTAACAATGTCTTGTAGCTAATTGGCCAATTGTTTAAACCTGAACCTGACCCCAGAAAAAATTCAACAAACCACTTCCACATACTATGGACATGTAGCACATGGGGAATGCTCCAGGAGTTGTAATGAGTCACAAAGTGACGTAGAGTTCAGTTCCATTTTGCAAAAAGGAGTGAATGATAATTCCACTGAAACACATCCAGTTTCTAGCTGCCTGAAATTTGACACCTCCAACTCGGGCAGTCAGCAGCAGGCTAGCAATGCTGTTGTTGTAAATGAAGATTCTCATCAGGGTGCAAAGGGAAGCAGAAAATCTTTACAGGGGCAACAAGCCACAAGTCTGATTTTTAAGTTTGATTTTGTAATCCCTGAGGCAGATACTAAGCTACAGTCAGGAAACTGCACAGAACAACCTGTGCCTGTAACTCAGGACAAGAAGCCAAAGGAAGACCCCAAGCTGCTAAGCCATCAAAAGGCTAACCAGGTCAAAACTGCTCAGAAAAAGAAGGAAGTGCGTTGCAATAAGCACGTGGCTGAAGCTGAGAAGGGTGGAGAGAGGCAGAGCAATGACAGAGATGGCAGAGAGAGGAACTCCACAACTTCTGGAGAAGAACAGTGCCTGGTAAGCAGACACCAGAAACACTAAATATATTCATTTGTAAAATTCTTATTTCTTCATGGCAATTTATTTTCCCACCTATTTTGGTGTCATCTGCAAATTGATTCGTATTATGCATTTCTAGTTGTCCTGCTACCATCTCCTAGAATACCAGGGCCATGGTTTCCCACTTTCTGCCTCCCTCCCTTCTTGAATAGAGGTGTTAAATATACAGTTTTCCAGTGTCCTGCGGCCTTTTCAGAATATGGAAATTTTGGATCATGTAGATGAAACTTTACTCTGTATCTAACCCTTGCAGTATCCGCCCTCAGAGTGCTTGATTGGACAGTGTAACAGTAGTTCTTTGATTTGTTCTTTAATGAGATGGGAGTGTTATTATTAAATCCAGCATTTGTGCCCATTCCTAATTGCCCTAGACCAGCTGCATTCTTGAAATTCTGCAGCCTACCTGGTTCACGATCTAACTCCAGTGACAGTGAAGGAACTGTGATTATAATTCCAAGTCAGTTGCTTGGAGAACTGTGGTGGTGGTGGATGGTGTGAATAGTTAAGGTGATGAATGGGGTGCTGATAAAATGGGATGTGTTGCCACAGATTGGGTCAGAATTTGTAGTCATCTGGGCAAATGGAGAGTATTCGATCACAATGAGGGACAGACTTTGGGGAGACATTGGGTGTATTATTCGCTGCAAAATTCCCATCCTCTGACCTCCCCTTAGTATTTATAAAGCTGGTTCAATTCAGTTTCTGGTCAGTTGTGATCTCGGATGTGGACTGTGGGAGGTTCAGCAATGATAATACCACTGAATGTCATGGAGCGATTGATTAAGTTTTCTATCTCATTGCCTGGCGCTTGCAATAGCATGAATTCTATTTTCCGATTAACAGCTAAACCTGAATCTTTTCCAGGTCCCACTACAATTAGATGTGGAATGCTTTAGTTTCTCAAGAGTTGAAAATTATCTTGAACAGTATTTGCTTTTTTCATTCGCTCGTGGGGTGTGAGCATTGCTGGCTGGCCGGCATTTTTACCCATCTGTAACTACCCCTGAGAAGGTGATGGTGAATTGCCGCCTTGAATCACTGCAGCCCATGTGCTGTAGGTTGACGGACCAATGTTGTTAAGAGGGGAATTCTGGAATTGTCAGCAAACATTTCACTTCTTACCTCATGATAGCAGGAAGGTCATGAATGAGGGGGTCTGAAGATGGCTAGCAGTAAGAACCCTGAGGAACTCTTTCAGCAGTGTCCTGGGACTGTGCTGATGGGTCTGTAAAAACTACAATAATCGTCTAACACAATAACAGAAATTATTAGAAAATCTCAGCAGGGCTGGCAACATCCATGGAGAGAAAGCAGAGTTAACGTTTTCGGTCCAGTGACCCTCCTCGTAAATTTTGCTAGGGGTTTTTTCATGTCTCACTTGGTAAAATATTGCTTTAATCAGAAAGTGGAGTTACACCCACCTCACTTCTTAGGTTCAGAGCTGTTTTGATCATATTTGGACCAAAGTTGTAACAAGATCAGGAGCTGTGTGCCTTTTTCATGTTTTTTTTATGGATCAGTGAATTTTCTACATTGTGGGATTGATGCCAGTGTTGTAGTTCTGGAGCATATGTCTTCAATACTACTGCTGTCAGGGCTCATAGACATTTTATTGCGTCCAGTGCTTTAAGCAGTTTCTTTATAACTTATGAGACAGGAACAGCTACCTGAGAGTTGGAGTTGGTACACTGAATAAAAAGGCATTCTGTTGCCCAACACAGGCCTTGGTTCCATAATGACATTGCTCCGTACAGAGTAATACAGCATGGAAACAGTCCATGCTGTCCAGCTTTCCTAAACTGAACTATTTACATTTTCCTGCATTTGGCCCATATTCCTATAAACTTTTCCTATCCATGTACCTGTCCAAATGTCTTTTAAATGTTGTATTGTACACCCCCAACAATTCCTCTGTCAGCTTGTTCCATATACACACCAGCCTCTGTGTGAAAAAAAGTTGCCTCTTGAGTCTCTTTAAATTACCCCTCTCACCTTAAACCTATGCCCTGTAGTTTAGGACTCCCCTACCCTGAGTCAAAGACCTTGGCTGTTCACCTTATCAATGCCCCCATGACCTTATAATCCTTGCAAATTTTTTTTGCACGCTTTTCAATTTAGTAACATCCTTCCTGTAGCAGGGCAACCAGAATTGTAAGCCGTACCCAAATGTGGCCTTACCAATGTCTTGCACAGCCATAACGTGATGTCCCAACTCCTGTACTCAGTGCTGTGACTGATGAAGGCAAACATGCCAAACACTGCCTTTACCACCCTGTCTACTTGTGACGCTACTTTCAAGGAACCTGCACTCTTAGGTCTGTCAGTTTGACAAGACTCCCCAAACCCAATTAACTGTTTAAATCTTGCCCTTGTTTGTCTCTTCAAAGTGCAAAACCTTACATTTATCTGAATTAAACTCCATCTGCCATTCCTCAGCCTGTTGGTCCTGTTGAACAAGATCCCATTGTACTCTCAGATAACCTTCTTCACTGTCCACTATAACACTAATTTGGTGTAATCTACAAGCTTAGTAACCTTGCCTCCCTATATTCTCATCCAAAGCATTTATATAAATGATGAAAAACAGTGGACCTTAGAGGTGATCTACATGCATGTTTGCTTTTTGTTTCTTTTGGTCAGGATATTTGAATCTTATCCAGCGGGTTGCAGTAACTTGCTCTTGTCTTCTTCTCTTCCAGTCTTCAGAAGAGCAGCTGCGGCGGGAAGTGGACTGGTGCATTGAGCAACTAGAACTTGGGCTACGCACTCAGAAAGCCAAACCGAAACAAGGTGTGTTGTAAGATCTTGAATGGGATGGTTGTGTTAGTGGCCTTTTCCCATTCCTTTCCTCAGTAGATGTCTCTCATAGGGATAAGGTATCCAAATAAAATCAAGCACATTATCCAACTTGTGCAGGAAAGCAGCAGGGCAGATAGAATTATACGCTAATTATTGATCAGATGTGTACCAGCTTTCAGAAAGCAATACATATCATTCTGACAACAGCCTTGCAATTCTTTCTCCAAGTATTTATCCAATTCGCTTTTGAGGTTATAAATGAACCTTAACAAGCATTATGTTCCAAAATGTAACTACCATCTACATAATAAACTTTCATTTTCATGAATTGCACATTCTATTGTGAATCACCTTAAATTTGTGCCCTATGGATATCATAACTCATCTGTTGGAAACTTTTTCATGATATTTACTCTTATCTGATTTTAAACGCCAGTCAGTTCTCCCATTAACCTTCCCTGCTGTTAGCATGTGTTTCATTGGGTTTACTGCTCACTCCTGATATGACCAAGAGCAAGTGGAACTTTGCAATTAAAGGGTTCAACGTCAAGGAGAGGTACGCAAGCACCTTATCTGTTGACCAGTTGAGGAACAATATAGTTGGCAGCTGTATGTAAAGTATCCCCTTAAAGTAGCCTGATTACTTCCTCATTCATTTTTGCTCCTCTCCAAAGTTCCAGTAAAATGTGAAAATTAGACTGATGATTTGTCAGGTAACCAAACACTTCACAAGGCCCTGACTGTACAATAGAAATAGGCCAGTGATTTGGATAAGAGCAGAGAATTAACACTAAAGTTTTTTACATTGCAGCTGAGCAGGCTGTTCGTGCACTGAGAACCCTCCGCAGTGAGAAAGCACCACTCGTGAAGAAACGGCAAGTGATGAGGTCCATTTTTGGAGACTACAGGAAAAAGATGGAAGAGGAATGGCAAAGACAATTCAAATTGATGCTTGCAGGTCAGAGGGTCTATCCAGGGCACTCAGGAGATGTGATCACACAGCTTCAGTGGAATGGGCAAACAGTAAGGGGGAGAAGGGGAGCATTTGAGCAAGTAGATTGTGTGACTGACATGGGTTGCATGTTGTGATAATGTGGGAGAGAGATTGCATGAGTGACAGGATTGAGAATGATTTGAAATATGGAGCCAAACATTGAGCTTATAGTAATGTGTTTTGGTTGCTTCTTTCAGCTACAAAATCTGCCAGCATCAAACCAGTTGGAATGCAGAAAAGGAGCCAAATCTTTCGGAAATCTGTGAGCAATTTGAAAAGAGTTGGGGATTTCTCTGAATCTGACTCTGTGAATTCAGAAGGGAGCGCAGTTCAATGCATGCATGACCAAAACTGCCAAAGTCACTTCCGGTTTAATTTCTTCTGAGTAATATACAGTAATTGAAGTGTGTGGAACAAAATCTGTGTCGCAGACCTTGGGCTGGCGAGGCAGCATCCGAGTTTCCTATTATGGGATTTTCCCTTCAAACACTTATTTTGCTGAGCTGAAAACAAGGATTGATCATGTGGATTTGGCCCATATCATTTGCCATTAAAGACTGATGCATTGAGACATTGTGCAAGCAGCCTTTTTGAAAGTTTTGGTGACTGCTCTCTGCCCAGTCATTTTAAATGAGAGATTTATTAGGGAATTGGTCTGTTCGCATTGGACTCTCTGCTGCCTTCCTTTCTCCCGAGATACCTCTCAATCCCCTCCAGTCTGAACAAGAGAAGAATTAATGAGATTGTTAATGTGTGGTGATGGCTGCTGCAGAATTCAGGTTTCCTGTTCACTTGGGCAGACGTTCAAATCAGTAATAATTTGGTCTGTTGTCAGTGTACAGTTTCATGATGTGTTAAGTTGAATATTTACAGGCAGCAGGAAATTGACTGCCTCTCCTGTAGACTGAACTTGAGCTGGAAGCTTTTTTTTTAAAACTATTAGCTGTTGTGAGAACATGGGTGTTGCGCTTGGAGTCTTTATTTTTCAGTTGTTTTGAGTGGTGTGTTCAATCCTGTATTAGCCCAGAAGCCAAAGTCCATCTCTGTTCATGTGCTAAAGGTGAATAAATTAACTTTTTTTTAATCCTGTAAAATGTAATTCTGGTGCATTTACTGTACACCATTGTTTTTCATGGCACAAATGAGACTGAAGAATACTTTAGGCCAGTTGCTGACTTCAATAGTACAAGTGCAAGTTACAAACAGAACAATTCTCTCTCTGCACCAGTGTGAGCAAACTTTTCATGCCAAGGGCTATGCCACATCTGAAGATGCAAGTTGTATTTTGAGGGTGGGTGGGTATTTGTGTGCACATCATAAGTGTGCAAGAAAAAAATAATTACAAAGAATAATTTTGGTATATAAACATACTTTTATTGTGATAATTGTACCTTCATTACAATACAATAAAATCAATGTACTCTTTTTGTACACTGTTCTCAGCTTAATCTGAACAATGTAGTGGCTCACCTGTCTTAAAATGGCAAAGTCTGATATCACTCCTCTCTGAAAAGATGCTGCTTCCAGCATTTTCTTTCATATTTCCAGAATCTAGAATATTTTGCTTTAGTTTTGCCAATATAAATGCATCTTGGATCTAGCAAATGGTGTTACAAAAATCACCACGGAAAACAAAAATCAGTGGAAGATCATGAGGTATCTGAGGCAATCACCACATCTTAGAGTACAATGATCTATATCCTTTCCCTCCCTCATTACTACAGCTGTTTTAGTAATGTTATAATACATTTTTAGAGGTGCCAGCAAGTGCAGGTGTAATTTTCCATAAGTTAGGAAACATGTTGAAATTTTCTATTTTCTCAAGATACAGAACCCTTACCTAAAACCACATATTTCACTTAAGATTTTTAGGAAGAGAAGGATGAAAATCATTTAAGTGTTGGCTGCATCTCCAGCCACTTTCTCAATACCGATACCACTCTTCAATGTTGTATCAATGATGTGGAGGTGCTGGTGTTGGAGTGGGACGGACAAAGTCAAAAGTCACACAACACCAAGTTTTAGTCGAAGAGATTTATTTGAAATCATAAGCTTGTGTCTCCTGGGACTCCTTGGAGGTAGCAGCATTTATGCTTCATTATATGTCAATCCCTTGTTCACCAGCAGAATCGTACATCAGGTTTTTGCTGGGTTACAAATGTGTTAGCATCTGGTTCTTTTGTCAATTACCTTAAATTTGCAACCCCTAGATACAAACTGATTTCTAGCAGAAGTGCTTCGTCCATATTTACCATTCACTATCATGATTTTGAATGCCTGCATTAAATCTACCCCTACTTTCTTGGCTGTACAGAGAACAATCCCAGTTCTTTTTTCATCTCCCTATTTAATTGAGGTTCCATATCCCTGGTGCAATTAATTATGGCAGCTTGTAAAACCTTGACCAGGATGTATACACAGATGCAAGTTTTAAAAAAATAGATTTGTAACAATTCTAATAGGTAAAGGCACTCTTTGGTATATTCCTATGCCAATGCAGACAAAGGTCCCAGGACTACTGGCACCCATAGCACCTTTAGTGAGGGAATAAGAAAAATGGGAAAATAAAGCTATTTAAAAGTTGTTTTTCCATGAACAGTATTAAAATTTCATTGTAGAATAATTTAAAGTTTGGAAATGCCCTCTTACCATTTGTTACTCACACTGTTCCACATACCTTTGCAAAGGAAGCCTGCCTCTGGTCTCCAATTATTTGCTACTCCAATTTAGTGGGAAGTACTTCCATTAACCTCAAAAACTGCCCTTGAAGCTCTCCAGAATCTAGAATTTAAAAAAAAACTTGATACCCATCAGGGTGCCTGAAAATTGCACACATGCTATAAGTTCATATTGCATCCCTTCCCTAACCTTGTGTACTTTCTCTGGTACAGTTGTTGTGTCCCTGTTTGCCCAGTAATACAGGTACAGCATGAGAAAGATAAAATAAAGCTTCCTTTATACTTTCCACATTGAAGGTGCCCAGGGCAAGTAAAACACAGGAAAGATATAGAGCAACATTTGCAATGTTCCATCAAAAACTAGCAGGGCAGGTACAGTAGTATGTATATAGATCAATGTCCATATAAATCACAAAACTATGGGATATTTTCCAAAGATTAAAAGCTGCTTGAAAGAATAGATTGGGTGAACTAGCTTGATTTTTAAAAATTTCTTTTCAGATTAATCATCAAAAGGTGCAAGTTCACTTTTAGAGGCCACACCTGAACTGTGGTTTGGATACACTGCCCTCTAGCTATCAGAATAGGGCAGGCTTTCATGTGACTTTCAGTGAAGTTCACGATTTAATCGCTGCAACCCTTTTTGACTCTTCAATGGTGTTTAAAAAAAAGAGCTCATTGCATAGTTAGAAAAAACATTAGAAAAACATGCGCAGCTTGCTAGGGGTCAATCAATCCCTTAGTCAAATCCCCACCTTATTGCTGTGCACCCTGCACGGATCTCTTAAGAGGCATCAGGTCAGTATTCCATCTTAAGTGACAGTGTCAGATTTAGAATTACTTTAGTTTTTATTTTTGCACTATGCAAACAGAAAATTAAGTGCACTCGCCCTTCGTTGTTAGCTTATGCCCAAAGTGTATTCAATTCAAAATGGAAAGTCATATCAGTCTTCCCAGAGAAACATGTAAGAGATCCTGTACTATATTTTTACAGAGCTTTCATTAAGCAACTGAAAATGTCCTGTTTCTTTCATGAAGAATTATCCTATTGTAACATGGTGCAGGCAGGTGGCAACATGGAGGTTCTGGCACCATTTTCTGTTCTTGGATTCAGAACCGAAATTCCTCATTCAGAGAGCACAGTCCAGTGTCAGGAATGCAAAAGGCAGCTAGTCGCAAAAGGCAGCTAGTCACACAAGTCAATTAACGATCATCCTATACAGCAGCAATAACAAGGCAAAACCTTGAACGAAACCCAGCTGAAGTGGAATAATCAGTGAGGGATGTGGACTGTGCACTCAACAGCAGGCTCTAAAAGGTTAAACTGCAGGGCTGGAAACTAGGAGACGCATGGTAGCATGACATGAGATTCTAGGAAAAAAATCTTACTCATTCTCACACATAGCAGAACACCCCGCAAGAGGTTATATTAGAAAATGAGAACTTAACTTAGAGGGAGAGGACATTGTTATCTGATTATGTAATTTAATTAGGGACCTTAACAGAAATCTACAAGCAATGAGGAAGATAATGGAGAGGTACCAAGAAACCTCCTAAGATGACAGTGTATAACTGGGAATAAGAGGGTGACTTTATATTTTCTTTTTAGGTACAATACACTAGGAAGCTCATTGGCCCATATTGCAGGAAACCTTCACATCTGAACCTACCCCTCAACCCACACCAAATGGGACGGCATGATGGCTCAGTGGTTAGCACTGCTGCCTCACAGCAGCAGGGATACAGGTTTGATTCCAGCCTTGGGTGGGTGTGCAGTTTGCACGTTCTCCCCATGTCTGTGTGTGTTTCTGTTAGGTGCTCCAGTTTCGTCCCACAGTCCACTGATGTGCAGGCCATGCTAAATTGCCTGTAGTATCCAGGAATGTGCAAGCTAGACGAATTAGCCATTGGTAAATGCAGGGTAGGGGTGGAATGCTATTCAGAAGACTTGATGGGCCAAACATCCTCTTCCCGCACTGTAGGGGTTCTATGATCCTATGAAATAGGGAGGCAGTACAACTTCTCATGACTTCTCTGTAGTCTTATGAATGTAATCAGAAAGCTGTATAGGTATTGTGGTTTGTGTGGGTTCAGCCTCTTACCCAGAACACAATCATTATCTTCCCAGCTTCACTAGCATTAAGACAAAGGTGAACAAGGCTATGTAAGTACAGAAGCAGGTTTTTAAACTGAGCTGCACATTGCCACAGTAGGTGCCTTCTAAATAAAATGTTCCACTGTCAGTCACTAACATTAGAACTTTGAGTACTGTAAACATCTTCCAAATACAGCTTCAAGTGCAAGAAGCATCTGAACCCCATTGTCAGGAGCAGGAATCCAGAGAGCGGGTAACTTAAATCTGTTTGTTAAAACGGAAGATGAGCAGAACCTGAATGAGAGAGACGGAGTTCCGATTTAGCTTGTAATGTGTTCTGTCTGTAGTGACAAAACATAAAACTCTCTAGATTAGAAACAAACTTGTCTCACCTCATTAACTGAGTTGTCATGAGATTTAATATTCATAAATAGTTCCTGTCAAGTCCAGCAATGCTTCTAAAAGCATTTGGGCCAATGACAGGTGTCTTTTTAAATACCATCTGAACGGCTGCTCAATGTCACCCCCTCTCAATGTTGCAAATGGACGGACCACTGAAGTAATAATGCTCTTCCTGTTTCATCAAGAATAAAGAGGATATCCCTGCCCTTGCCCCGAGCTAGGGCCTTGTTTGAATATGTCAGGTCTGCTGTTCACTAACATTCAAACATGCAAAGTTATGCTTATTGCTCACATCCAAGACTTGTTTGACTGGGTCCCTACAAATTGGCCGACAGCCACTTCAACTCAACCCTCAGTGTCTTGTTAACAGGACAAGCAGAGATGTGAAGCTCATTGACACAGAGGAAGCTGGTGATCATAGCTGCAAATCTGACCCCTCTGTTGCAACACGGACTTGGAAATCTAAATTCTCACTAGATAAGTGTTTGTGGGAGGGAGTGGGTCAACCAGAAGGAAAAAAAATACATAATTTAAAATGCTTTCCATTTAAAAACCACATATATGATATTGCAATAACAGAACTGGAATTTCCTGCTTACAAGTAGAGGCTGCAGCTAATCCAGATGGCACAAACAGGCTGGAAAGGGACTAATTTCTGGCACAGAGGACATGTTGAATTTTGCGGGGGGAAGGGGGGATACTTGTCTCCGTGACAGAGAGGAGCCATGTTTAAGCAGACGTTGTTCCCTGAACTGGCTTGAGTGGACAGGAGGATATATTCTCCTCTGGAGGGGATGAGGGGGGAGGGGAAGCCCTGTGCAGAATCCAGTGCGCCCCAGGCACATTTGTTTTTGGTGCTTTTCTCTCCGTTCCACTCAAGCCACATGTTGGGTGCAGCTGTAACCTGGGCCTAGATGTTCCAGGACGTCATCAGGTATGTGCTGGCACAGACAAAGCATAATATGACTCATTAAGAACAAAACAAAAAGAGAAGTATCTTCTGAAATATTATGCAAAACATTTCTGGTGTTCCTGCTCACAGACTTGCTGCTTTATTGCTCAGAGGTGAGTGAATTTCACCCAGTCGAAGCCGAGAGGTCACTTGTTGAGAGTTCCAACTGATCCAGGTTTTACAAAAAAAATGTCTTCACCATGTGCGAATCACAAACATTGGGGAGAGATCTGAAGAAGTCCAAGTGTCAACTGGCTGCTGACACTCTTCCCTGTTAGAGGCGGCCATTTAGGAGGAGTTCTGGATATTGGCCAAGAACTGTTTTGCCCACCACTCTTCGAGATCAATCGGGACAAAGTCTGGGAAATAAAGTGAGCAACATGCTGAAACAACATGAATATCCCAGGAGATCGTGTTCACAAGTAATTGCTTATTTACATTTTCACAACATTTCTTCATTAATGTCAACACTACAGCATGAGTTAGATATGCAGTACTCTTATCACCAATAATCCACCATCACAATCATTAATCCCGTGACCTCAGTGTTATTCAGTGAGTTGTCCAGAGAGGATTGTCCAGAGCCACACCCGATTCAGTGTACGCTGGCCTGTGGCAAACATTCCCAGCGAGGGTCACTGTAGTGATCAGGATTAATGATCCCAACCAAGAGTTCCCCTCTCCTTCACAGAGAGGATTGAAGCCACAAATGTAATCCCAGCTCAGATCAGTTAATACAAAATTGCAGATTACAACCAGGCTATCTTGGTTTTGCCTCAGCTACAGGCTAAATTTAGTTAAGGAGCCCTCTCAAAAGGGCTTTTATTTCTGGGGATTTTATCACATGGTCTCATCTTTTTACTTAACCCACCTCCAATAGTCTAGTAAATACATGTTTTAAAAAATAATGAAATAAAACACAATCCATTTTAACTGTGCCAGGCATGGGTCAGGGATTAGCACACTCATCTGAGTTTGAAGGATGTGTGGTGAAGTTCCACTTTTGATATTTGAACCCATAATCCAGGCTGATACTCTCAATGCATTACTGAGCAAATACTGCATGGTCAGTTAGTGACCAGGGAGTGAATCTTTAATGCACCTGCATCTGGGAAGTTACCCTTCCCAGTCATGCACCATGCTGCTCTGGAACAAAATCAACATTCTTTCACTGTTGCTGGGTCAAAATCCTGGAGCTCCTGCCCTGACAGTCTTGGGGATGTACTTAGAAAACATGGACTGCAATAGTTTGAGAAGGCGGTTCACCATCCCTTCTCAACAGCTACTCGGGATGGGTGGGTGGTTAATACTGACCTTGTCATTGATGGCAACAATGCTCGAATGAATACTTTTAAAAGTCCTGGATATTCCAGGTCAATCCTGGAAGGTTGGCAAATCCCAGACAACATCCATTCCTCTGTAAGGTCTATATAAATATTCAAAATTACCCCTGGCACCTACTCTTCAGGTTTTGGCTTGGTGTTTTCTCCACGTATTGCACTGGCCCATGTGCACGCTGCCCATTCTCCTGGCTGGCTCCAAGCTGCTCTTCTACCTGCTGCCATGCTGGGAGACAAAAAAAGAAGAAAGAATTTCAATCAATCAATCATTCAGTCACACACAGAGGGGGGAGACAATATTGTTGGAAGCAGAAATGTGATAGCTGTGATCTACAGAACGAAGGAAGAAAAAGAAAACTTCCACTTAGTTAATGCCCTTCACCACGTCAGAAAATCCCAAAGCACTTTCCAATTCAGGACTTCTGAAGTGTAGTCACTGTCACAGCAGCTAACTTGTTACTGACTGAGCCAAGGGAGCGCACAAGAGAGCATAAGACAATAAGACTGGCTTGAGCATTCTCCTCAAGATCACAGCAGCTCCCAAAAATATCCACGATTAGAATTGGAAAATAAAACAGCAAAGGAGCCCGTTCAGTCCATTTAAATATGTTTATAGAAGATATTTTTCACCCACATGCAGTACGAAGAAAATGTTTCCCTGCCTGAAATGGTTGGACGTTAAACCTCATTTGCTCCCTCACGTGGGTGAAAAACATATTTAAAAAAAGAGCAGGAAAGTTTCACTGTGGTTCTCCCATATTTATCCCTCAGCCAACATCATGAAATCAGAAATGCTTATCTCATTGCTGTTTGTGAAACTATATATGTGCAAATTTGTGCTGAATGGCGTTTAACATCATATCCAATCAGCAGCACTGCAGGTAGGGCAGGATCGTATTTGTACTGTGCTGACATTTCATTGTCGATTTGATGGTCTACTGAGCGCTACTGACTGAGCCAAGGCAGACACTGAAATAAAGCGCCATGAGAGAGTGAGAGCAACTAAGAGAGAGTAGAACAGACTTGAGCATGCTCCTCAAATCAGAGCAGCTCCCAAAAATGTGAATAGCCACTTAATTACAACTGGAGAATGACACAGCAGAGAAGCCCATTCAGCCCATCATGCCAGCTCTCTGGCAGATCTAATTAGTCCTACTGTCCTGTCCTGACAGGCTCTGTTTATTTCTCACTTATGCATTCGAGTCTCTAACTGCAACGCCTTTTAATGGTTTATGGAACTTTCCAACATTGTGAAAGATCTTTCAAGGACTGCCGGCTTCTGGATCTCTGGGGGTCAGATTTCCATAAATAAATTGTTCAGGAAGTGCTGATTAGGTGTACCAGAATGATATCTGGACTTGAAGAGTTAAATTATGACAAGGGAGTTTACAATATAGGATTGTACTGCTTCGAATTTAGATAGTTGAGGTGTTTTGGTCTTAACTGCAAGATACTAATGGATGTGTTAGGTCTGCTGGGTGGGGAATCTGGTACCAAAGCACTTGTCCTTTCCTTGTCTTTCTCCTCTGCTGGTCACAAAAGGTCTGAATTTAAAAATGGTATTGAGATTGCCTCTATATAGCTCATTATTAGAAACAAGTCAGCCAGGTTCCTTAAAAAGGATAGAACTAGTTTACTGCACAAAAAGCATACTCTAGCATAGTTTATCAAAATCATAAGTCACACAACACCAGGGTTATAGTCCAACGGGTTTATTTGAAATTACAATCTCTGGACGCACTGCTCCTTCATCAAATCAGAAGTCACACAACACAGGTTGTGGGCCAACCAGTTCCAGTTCCAACGCTCTCCTCAAAAGACAGATTCTGGATACAACTGATAAAGTACCCTTCATTGTCCAGTACTTCCCTGGAGCGGCAAGACTACACCATGTTCTTTGCAGCCTTCAACATGTCATCAATGACGATAAGCATCTCTCCAAGATCATCCCTACGCCTCCACTTCTCGTCTTCAAACAACTGCTAAATGTTAAAACAGACCATTGTTTGCAGCAAACTACGCAGCCTTCAAGACAACAATCAACCCCACAACCCTACCATGACAACCTCAGCAAGACATGTCAGATCTTTGATATGGATACTACCATCACACGGGGGAACACCACCCACCACATGCACGGCAAATACTCATGTGACTCGGCCATTGTTGTCTCTCATACGCTGCAAGCAAAGATGCCCCCGAGACATGATATATTGGTGAGACTGTGCAGATGCTATGACAATGAATGAATGGACACTGCACAACAATCGCCTCCCAGTCAGGGAACACTTCAGCGATCAAGGACATTCAGTCTCCTATCTTCGGGTAAGCATCCTCCAAGGCTGACTACAAGATATACAACAACGCAGAATCACCGAGCAGAAACTGATAGCCAAGTTCCGTACTCAAGAAGATGGCCTCAACCGTGATCTTGGATTCATGTTGTGTTACAGATGACTCCATCATATTGTGCTGTAAGATCTTCCTTACTGTCCTGATTTGACTGCATCACCTTGATAAATTGTTATGATCTCTCTACCTTAATTAGTTTGTACAGTTTTGAATTTAGCATGCAATTTCAGTCATTTAGTTTGTCTCCAGCACCACCTTATTTGTAATTATCGCTCTGCCTCACTTAATTGGATCATAGGCCATCCCTTCGCCGGTTATTCAGCTGTTGACATTTTATTCACCATCTAACACTCTTGGTCACATGGAGACTTATCATCTGACATGCTACTCATATCAGATCTTTTGACCTCTGTGTATAAACTCTGGGCCTGTGTGCTGTGTCCTCTCACTGCATCTGATGAAGGGGTTGCGCTCCGAAACCTTGTGTGATTTCAAATAAACCTGTTGGATTATAACCTGGTGTCGTGTGACTTCTGACTTTGTCCACCGCAGTCCAACATCGGCACCTCCACATCATAGCCACCCCGTGACACCAAACTGGGTTAGTTGACTTCTCTCTGAAAGTACTTGAGACTCAGCAACTCAGTCAAGCAGCTTGTGGTCTTTGCAAATGCAACATTTTATTTTACTACAGCCAATTCTCTGTTGTTTTGCATAGTGTTCTGTTCAAATGCTCCAAGACATAGATATAGGTGCAATGCTTATCCTAAATTAATATTTCAGCAAACACATCTTCATAGCAATACTCTAAAAATTACAACCAGATTGTTCCTGAGTGAGACTTGGAAACATTTCTACACACAAAGGGTGACAGAAGTTTGGAATTTACTTCCACAATTGATGCTTGATTAATTGTAAATTTTAAGCCTAAGAGTGATCAATTTTGCAAATTCACATATTAAGGATTACAGATAAAGACAGATATACACAGTTCAGCCAAGATCTCACCAAACAGCGGAGAAGTTCAAGGGAGTAAATAGGCTCCCTCCTGTTCCTGTGTCACTGTCATTGCGGAATTTGCTGTTCCAACTGCAATAACCAAGACTCTCTGAAATATATGACCTCTTCCCCATTAGAGGCATTCAGGACAGATAGTCCATAATGACTCTGTTACAAAGAGCTTTCTATGTCAGTAAATGTTCATATCTATTTTCCAGTTCAAACAATAAGTACTTTGGACACAAAAAGACTTTCCTCCACTGGTAAAGTTTAGAATTACCAGTGGTTTACCCAGTGATCTATTAAACTTCTAAATAAAAATTTATTGCCCAAGGTTTAATAATTACCAATTGTCTGCTTGATTCATAATACAGTTGCTCTAGTTTAATTACTTGACTTTAATTTATTTTTAAAATCAGATATTTTCTCAAATCCAGCTTCACTGATCACTCTACAAATGGATGTCATGTCCCATATAAACCTAGCCAATATCTAGCTAGTGGATCCTAGGAATCAAACACGGAAACCTTGTCACTATACCCTGGCTAAATGCAATGTACTCCATCTCACAGCTGACTCACATCAGATGAAAAATTATCCCTTCTATCAGACTGTGGCTTGGGCTTTAAGCCAACAAGAAAATTTATGTAACATTGTTCAATCAGTACAATGTGATAGTTTCTCACAACATGTCTCGACATTCAAGACAGTTTCTTGAGCACAGTATCAAGTGTTGAGCCATTTTTTGAAAGTGATAAAACTCTGTCAAGGTGACTATCTCCGCCCAATATCACCACTGGCTTCAGGTTGACTATAGTAAACTGAGGTACAGCTCTTAGCATTTCAATCCTTTAAGGGTAAAACAAAAATCTGAGATTTGGTGGTGGTTAAAAAAAAGTTCAAGAGGTATGTAACAGCATTTCTGAAAAGACAAGAAACAAAATCCAAAAGATCTGGTGGTGTAACGGTGGTGTTCATACCAATGGACCAAGAAACCTGGGTTCAAGTCCCAACTGCTCTAGAGGAGTGTCATAACATCTTTGACCAATTTGATGAAAAATATTTATAAAACAAAGTCTATTAACAAGAATATTACATTCCAAACTAAATAAATACGCATTCTTTCAACAGTGCCTCAAAGGAGATAACTTTCACACACAGCCATCTGATAGATTCCTATCCAATTGCATTTAGACAGCACATATAATGTAATAAAATGTTCCAGGATGCTCCTTAAGAGAATAATCAAACAAACATTGATATTATTTCAGGACAGATACTGAAAAGCTTGGTCAAGGAGTTACATTTTAAGAAGTATTTTAAAGCACAGAAACCAACAACCAAAAACAGCTCCTCAGTTCTGGTATTTCTTTCCTATATTTCTCTACCTCTCCTTCAAGAAGATCTTTAAAACCTACCTATTTAACCAAGCTTTCAGTTGGCTTTCCTAATATGGCTCTTGGAATCATACACAGCCCAGAAAGAGCCCATTTGACTCATCAAACCTATCTGACTCTCCTTAAACTAATTCAGTCAGGCCCATTGCCCTACTCTTATTGCCACAAACCTGCAAGTTTGTTTCAAATTTTCATCCAATTTTCTTTGGAGTCATGATCCTTTCTGCTTCCACAGCCTTCATCAGTACCAAGTTCCAGATCATTACCCCATGTTGCTTAAATCTTTGTCCCCTAGCCCTTGTACTGTCGACTGATGGAGATACCTTTTCCTTGCTTACTTTATCCAGACCTGGAAAGATCTTGTACAGTTCTCATCAAATCTTCCCTCAAACTTCTTTGCTCCAAGAAGAACAATCCCAGCTTCTCCAAACAAACCTTGTAGCAAAGAAAAAAAAAAAATCCTCCATTCCTGGAACCA